TTTTGGAGGATGGGGAGGAGGAGGAAGCGGGAGAGGAGTTGGAGGAGGAGTTCATTGTTGTTGGGATTTGGTAGAGTAGGAGAAATGTTCATGTTCGTTCGTAACATGTTTACGTCCACCGTCCTGACGAGAATCTAGTTTAAAGTTCGGCAAGGCATGACGGTGCAAATCCGACTTGTGTGGTTGTTGTTCAGGGGGGGGGCTTTGTTCCAGCGGTGCTGCAGCACCGCTCCAGACTGTGTTGTGAACAGAGCTTGCAGGGGGGCCCTTTCCTTGACTGTTCCATTTAGTTCCGCCTTCAATGTCTGATTCACTTGGAAGCGCTCCCGAGTGAGCTCACCTGAGTCGGGTTTCCGCTGGCACGGGAGCTTCCCCCCTGCCCTTCATTGTCCCACCTCGGCCTTCCCCATGACTTGCCCTCACCGATCCTCCTCCTGAACCATTCTTCTGGCTTCCCCGGACACTTCTTCTTCGACGCTCCTCCCCAACCGTCCTCTTCAACAGTTCTGAACCATCGTCCTTTTCTTGGCCTCCCCTCTCCTCTTCCTCAGCCTCCCCCATCAACCCAACCTTTCTCTTCAACCCTCCTCCTGAGCTTGCCCCCCAACGCTCCCGTGTTTTTCTCCTCCTCCGCTTGCTTCCCCCGCCCTTCGCAGCCCTCGTCTTCAACCATCCTCAGCTCCGTTATCAGCCCTCGCCGTGAGCCCTGACCAATCTTCCTCCTGGACCCGATTCCGCAATCTCCCCTCCTGTCCCGCTCTCATGCCCATACCTCTTCAGCCTCCCCGGCCCCCTCCCAGATCTCCCTGCCCGACCCTCCTCGTGACGTTTCCCCCTCCGCAGTCTCGCGCGGCCCAGGGTTGCGCGAGGCTGCCGCGGGCGCGCCGCTGGGGCGCCCCCGCGGCCTTGGCGCTGGGCTCTGGCGCCAGTTGCATTCCATGGGGGATTTCGTGGGACATGCGCCGACCCCGGCCCCCAGCAGAATCCTTTAATATTCATGCGTTTTCCAATCGGAAGCCAATACATAACACGCGCGCCAGTCCGAGCCCCTCCGCAGACTTTCCCAACATTCTTGCAATCAAAGCCCCTCGCAGGATTCTCACACGTGTTATTTCACATGCTTGATTCGTGCTCCGAAAAAGAATCCATTTGGAAATGCGGTTTCACATGTTTGATTTGTCCTCCGGAAAAGAATGCATTGGGAAATGCGCTGGTCCCAGCCCCCAGCAGGATTATTTAATATTCTCCAAATAGGCTTGCCCTATAGGAGTCCGAGCTCAAACCCTACTAATTGGTCCGGTGCCCCCCCCCTAATTCCTATGACCACCCCGATTTCCTATGGTTATCCCTATGCCTACGCCTCCCTCTAACTCCTATGCCTACGCCTATGCCTATGCCCGCCTGCTTGCTTGCTTGCTCGCTTGCACGCTTGCTTGCTTGCTTGCGCGCTTGCTTGCACGCTTGCTTGCTTGCTGAGGTGCGGATTCCAAGCATGCTTGATTCCTCTGATTCCTTGATTTGAGTCGTCTAATCTATTTGGGGTCAACGCTGGCTGATATTTTGCTTGTTCTTCCCATTCGGAATTCAATGTGGAACGGGTTGACCCCAGCCTCTAACAAAAGTGTTGCATGTTCTGTTTGTGTGCTCAATCTGGATTTCATTGGACACTTGCCGGTCCTAGCCTCCCGCAGGATGAATCCCTCTTTTTACTTGGTGCGCTTCAGTTGGAATTCTATAGGCATTGCGGAGCTCCCAGCCTCCAGCTGAATACTTGAATATCCCATGTGTGCTTTGAAAAGGAGATTGGCAAACAGCTCGCTGGCACCAGGCGCACGCAAACGTCTTCAATATCCGCTTGGCCTTCCAAGAGGGATGCATTAGGAGTTGCCCAGAGTCGCCCCCAGCAGGAGTCTTTCATGTTCTAAATTTTCCCATCGGGAATCATTTTAGGAAATTCGTCGACCCTTGTCTGACATACGTTGCGTGTACGGCCCTTCTACATTTCGTATATATTGCATCTACGTTCGTATACGTTCCGCACACTCTTCATTCAAGTGTCAGATAGGTAGAACTTGCGTTGCACATACGTTTATGTTACGTCCCATTCACGCTTCGTAAATACGTTTGCTGTACTTCTCAGTCGCGTGGCCGGTGCGTTTCGCTTTCGTTTCGCACACGTGCCATATACGTACAATGTACATACCATATGCGCTACAAAAACGGTTCATTAGCGTTTCGAAAACGTGTAGTATGCGTTTTATTTTCGTTCCATCTACGTATCATCTACGTTGCGTTAACGTGCTGCCTTTGTGTTGAATGCGGTGCATTCACGCTTCTTACACGTGTCTGGGCTATAACTGTTGTGTACCCGTTCCCAGCATTTCGTATACGTAACATACAAAGTTTTGTATACGGCTCGTATACGTTCGTAAACGCTGCCGTCTTGGAGTGCCTTGAACGTAGAAGTCGCTTTTCGTAGGACAGTTGTATGGTCTAGATCCCAACTGCGCACTATGAAAACCTAGTGAGTTAGTTCTCGTGGGGGATGCCATTCGGTTTCAAGTGTCAGGGCTGGGATTTGGGATTTGAACCGTCTGGTTGGGATCTGACCCCATCGCCATCCGGTGCCTTGATCTTTTTCAAACGGGACCCCCGGAAATCTCAACCCTTTTCTCCAGGACCAATTCTTTATACCCTGAGTCGTTTTCTGATGGTCCCGGAGCCCCGTGAGGGCCCCAGAGGCCGAACATTGCAAAGCACATGTTTTCGTGACTTGTGCACGACGCGAGGGGGCCTGGGACAGGATCCCGCCCATGCGGTGGTCGCGGAGGTCCGCTGATGGTTCCCAACACCGTCCCGCCCAAAGGGTGCAGCCGTCCCGGCTTGCGGTGGTCTCTGCAGGGCCCCCGCGACAGGGCTTTCCCCTCCGCTGCCGGCTGGTGACACTTGCGGCGATTGCCCACCCCAGACATGCTCGCGTCGTGCGCAACTCGAGACGGACTTTCTTTTGTTTTTGTGACTCTCGGCCCCAGGGGTCCCTCGCCGGGCCCCCGGGACCGTCAAGAAAGCGGGTTCGGGATGAACATGCACGTCCTGGGGAATCGGTCGAGACCTCCCAGAGTCCACGCTTTGAAAAGAGTCACGACGTTGGGGTCGGGGTCTGCGGTGGTTGCCCACCGGGTCTCGCGTGTTTGATCCGGCCTTCGCCTGCCCCGGCTGCTGGCCGTTGCGGCCCCTGACAACTTGGTCCTGGTTGCCACTGCTGCGTCGGCAGTTCTGCAAAGGTCTGTGATCCACGCGCTGGCATAGCTGTTCAGAGCTCTCACCCCGGTGTCGGAAGCCTCTTTCCCGCTGTTCGAGGGCCAATCGCTAGCTGACCACTCGTACGTCCTTTGCTCCGGTCTGCACGTCACGGTGAGCGCCCGCGGCGCGCCATTCTGTCCCTTCTCGACACCTGGGCAGCCTCTCCATTCTCTCCGCGCATGCGGGGCGCAGCGGCTGTTTTTTCTTGTTCTCTCCATCAGGGAGCTGCATGACCAGGACGGGGCTAGCACGAAGATTCATCCTTTCCATTGCGTTCCGGAACCCTAGCAGAGCGCTCTGGAACGTTCTGAGAAGGGCGCGGCGCCCGACACATCCTCCAGAGCCGCTGGAGGATGTGGAGGATCTTCTTTCTGGCCTTGCCTTAATGATGTATTAATGAGGCCGCGGCGCCCGAGGATTCTCCTCCAAATCAGAGATTCTCGATTGATCCTCACCCGCACGTGTCCTCGTCCTGGCCTCGTCTTGATGACGTGGCTGGCCAGTGGCGAGGTCTGGGCGCACGTGTGGCCGCACGTCTCTCCAGCGCTGGTCCCTCCCATTACAGGCTGGGCGCGCGGTCCCTCCGCCTTCCACCTCCAGCGCGTGGCCTTTTCCTGCGCGCCCGCCCGTGAGTCCGGCAGTGGGCCTCCAGCTCTGCGGCCGCTGCTTCTCCCCGCCCGCGCCTCTTCCCGTTCCTGGTGCGCGCCAGTCGTTGAGGGCACAGCGGGGACGCGTATCGAGGAACTGCGTGCCTTTCGTCAGGGTGCCCTGGGTGTCTTCGTCGCTCCGCGCGCTGCGCGGTGACTGCCGTGGCCGTTGCAGGAGCTGCTGCGCTCGGGGTGCCCTGGGTTCCCCCCACTTGCACCTCGCGCTTGTGGGTTGTCAGTGCCGGGTGGCTTGCCAGGGCTTCTGGCGGCCGCGTCCGCACTGTGAGTATCCCTGGATTTCCAGATCCCAGTCTGCTTCAAGCGCCTTCCTACTTCAAGATTTGATATGCTTTTGTTATATGTTTTCCAATTTGGGCGGGCCCGAGCCAGATCTACTTTATCCGCGTTTCATCTTCATGTTTCCATCTACTTCTTGCGACTGGCGGGTAGTTTTGAAAAGCTCCGGGGCTCCAGCCTCCGATCTGTTTTTTTCACTCCGCGGCCTCGGAGCTCCCGACCCATTCCCTGAGGTTAGTTACTGTAGTTTTTCGTCCCTGATCTATGTTTGATGGTCTCGGGGCCCGATAACGAACCCGGAATTCTAAGAATGGAGCAAAACGCGAAGGTGGTACAATGATATCTTCGGAGATTTGGGGCGAGGCGTTCCGTCAAGGGCCGTCGTGAGGATTTGCGGCTCGCGATTCGCGACTCATCATTCTCATCCTCGTCTTCTTCGTCCCCTTCTTGTCCCCCTTGGGGGACGGCGCGAGAGCGCGAAGCTATTCGCGCTTCGCGCAGGGCGAGGGTCGACGTACGGTGGGGGCAGTGGTTGATAATGTACCCGTACCCACGAGGCTTAGGACCCTGAAGGATTCCTTACCGGATGAGCGCGGCGGTGATATACCTGGTCCATGGCCAATCCACGATTGGAGTTTCGCTGGCGTCCAGACCCCGGATTCCTGATCCACTGGTCCTTTCTCCAATGCCCGTACTGTAGTTGCCCTTATTCCGACGAGCGTCATCTTTTCGGGGTGGGTGGGCCGTGCGCAGGCGGTGACGAAGTCGCTGCAGGCAGTACGGGCGAAGGGCGCGGAGTTCCCTCGGGGTCCAGAGGGGGGGCGGCTGGCGGAGCTGAAGGGCGAGTTCAGCAAGCTGATGACCCAGGCGGGCCAGCCGTAGCCCCAGGCATCTCTGAGATCTGGGCGTTGCAGTGTTTTACACTGGGCGGTTTCGCTTGGTTTCGTGTCCTGGGACCCCACCCCGCGGCCGGGTGCTCGCCTCGGTCGCGCAACGCCTCTCCGGGCGCGCTGGGGATGTCTGGGACAAGCAACTGCTCGGGGTGCAGCTCCTGAAGGGGGGGGAGTGAGATGAAGGAAGCTCGAGGTCCTAGGCTTCCGGGGGTCCTCGTCGGTTCTCGCGTCCTCGTCGGTTCTCGGCGGCCTGCCAGCCTCGGGATGCGTTCCAGCAGCTGCGCCTCGCCGACAGCGTCCCGAGGGTGGCGGGATCGCCCCGAACAGCCGCCGGAGACCTGAGTTATGACCCGAAAACCACATTCGGCGGCCTATCGGGGGGGGTAAGTGAGAAGGATAATGCCTTCTCAGAAGGCGGCGGGACTTCTCAGATGCCCTCGTGCCTTGGAGATTGTTTGTGTATTCGGGGAAGGCTTCGAACACTTCTTAGAAGGCTGGGGAACTTCCGAGCCTTCTGAGAAGACCCTCCCCTTCTCAGTTCCTCTCGGGCGCGACGCCTATCCTGAGTGGGGGGAGCAGGCATCGACCACGGGATTTCCTGTGCTTGTTGGTGTCATCTGGCCTGAGCCAGCCTCCTCTTGCTTATCCGACTTGACCTGGCTACTTGATCTGACTATACATCTCTTTTGCTTCTTGGCTGGATCTGGACCGAATCGACCCGGCCTCATAGTCCGTCATCGTTCTCATCGGGACCTCCTAGGCGCCGTTTCTCAACTCTGGGCGGCCCGCCGATTTCGACACCTCTCGATCGCGAGAGATCGTCGATGCGATAGGCTCCCCCAAGCGTCAGCGATGCGCCCCACGCTTCGGGACGGGTCGGGATGGCGGCCCGATCAGAATCGTGAGGCAGGGCGCGGGTCAGTATGGATCGGGGGGGCGGGTTTGTGTTCTGAGAGCCAGAACCACCAGATCCCCGACTCGTCCTGGTCAAGTTTTGTCCAAGTGCTGGCTTCGTCTGCCCAAGAGGGGCCAGGAGCACATCCTCCCCCCGCCTGTGGCCGGTCGATCGGGCAGGCGACCGCCACCCACACCAGCCTGCTGGGCCTGAAGAAGCGGATGGCGGTGGCCAAGGTCGAGTACAGCAAGGCCCGACGACTGAAAGTTGCAGAAGCATAAGCCCTATGCGGATGAGAACCATCCCCTGCGGATCATAAACAATTCTGGGTGCAGGCGGAGCTTCTGGGACGCATCGGTGTTAGGATGGGATGATCCATGTTGCTATGCATGGGATGAAACTCAGAGCTACGATAGTAACTCATGAGGGGACAATAATGTTCCGCCTCCCGTCTGTTGTGGCAATTGGGCCACATTGCATCCCGTGGGAAAAGAGATACACGGGTTAAGGGGGGGATGCTTGAACACCCGCGGGTTGCGGTTACATTGTCGGGGTTCCGCACGGATTTCTTGGCTCTGCGATGGGCGTCCTCGGCGGCGCCAGAAGCGCCGCCCCTGGCGCACTCTGCGCGCCAGGAAGAGGGGCCCAGCGCCAGTGCAAGAGATCCGTGTGGACCCCCGACATCTCATGTTTGTGCAATGTTCCGTCCCCCTCAAGGCCGAGACGGCGGAGCGGAATGCGCACATCCTGGCCAAGGAGCAGAAGGAGGCGGACCTTCTGCTCGGCCCGGCCAGGGAGCGCATGAAGGCCACGGAGGCCTCGACGAAGGCCCTGGAGGAGTCAGACCTGGGGGCCGCTGGCGAAAGGGGCAGGAGGAGGCTCAGGCATGATCGCGTCGTGGGACAAACATCCACAGTAGTTTTTCGGCAGTTGTTGACCTCCCGGGGCCGTCGCCAGGCCTGTCAAAACACGATTCGGATCCCTTCGTTCGTCCTCTCTGTCTCGTCCTCGTCGTTCTCGTGCTCCTCCGTGGCATGTTGCAGCTCTGCCTCCGTGTCCTGCTCCTCCTCCTCCTCCTCCTCCTCCTCCTCCTCTTCCTCCTTGTTCTTCTCTTCTTCCGCCGTCTCTTCCTGCTCGTGCCGCCCTCCCCCTCTTCCTTTCCTCTCGCTTCTCCTCTCGCTTCCCCGTCTCCTCATCCTCCTCCTCCTCCTCCTCCTCCTCCTTGTTCTTCTCCTCTTCCGCCGTCTCTTCCTCCTCGTGCCGCCCTCACCCTCTTCCTTTCCTCTCGCTTCTCCTCTCGCTTCCCCGTCTCCTCCTCCTCCTCCTCCTCCTCCTCCTCCTCCTCCTCCTCCTCCTCCTCCTCCTCCTCCTCCCCCTCCTCCTCCTCCTCCTTCCTTAGCCATTGTGGCTCAAGAGCTCCTGGGACCCGCGCTCCCCATCTGGCCGCGTGTTCCCGCCGCGAGCGGGGTTCCTCGCCATGGCGACTGCTGGATGCTGACGCACCTCTGCCTCGCGCTCTTCTGCCACCCCGGAGTGTGACTTCATCTACATGCTTGCTCTTCTTCCCCAGCGTGCGTATGGGCTTCACGCGGTATGACTGGCTGCCGATCGTACGTGCAAGCTCTCGCCCAGCAACGCCCGCTCACTGCCGAACAGGAACGGCGACGCCTTCCGGACGCTCACTATCGTGCTGTTCACTCCGGTCCTGGTCGCCGCTTCGTGGAGTGCGCCGCTGAGGACCGAACCGCTGTAAAGGCGATGGCTCGAGGCAAAGAGCTCCACCGCTGCCTGGACTGGAAGCGCGGCGAGGCCACGACGTCGGGCAAGATCTCCGCCCACCGCTCGTGGAAGCTGGGCACGCCTGACCAGACCGACTACAAGTTCGCGAGGCGCGTTCTCGAGCGCGCCGACCACGCCAAGCACTACCACCGCGCGGCGCCCTCAGCAACAACACGTTCGGCATGGGCAGACATACGTGACAACGGTGACCTCGGAGATGGTTTCCTTCCACCCGTCGTTCATCCTGACTTGCGCCCTGCAGCTTCACAAGGAGGCGCTGTCCTGCACAACGTTGACCCGATGGACAGCTCGTCCCCCGCACTTCCGGAACTCACGCTCACGAGCGCCGCGCTGCACAGCGACCGCCTGTCCGCCACGATCGATGAGAAGATCTGCGCGCTCCAGCGCTCGCTCTTCACCACTATCGATGCGAATGTACAGAATGCTGGCGATACGCTTCGAGCCACCATGAATGCCAAATACATCACGATGGATGCGCTCGGCACCGTGACCGCCACGCTAAAACGCTCCACGAAACGATGCTCAAGAGCCTCCACTCCAACTCGTGCAGTCCAAGGCTGTGATCACTGAGATGCTCGAGGAGTCTCTCAAGACTCAGCGCCCGCCGCCCCTCCACGAGCCGAGCTCGCTGCCCGATAACATGCGGCACGAGATAGGCGCCATGTTCGACCAGAAGTGGCTGGAAGTCAAGGCGTACGCCGACACGGACACGAAGCAGTCCCTCAACACCTTCAAGCTGCAGCTCAACAACCTGCTCCCCGAGCTCAGGAACGAGCTCGACCAACGGGTGAAGCTCATCGAGTGCGACTACGACGAGCTGCAGCAGCAGGTCGCTTGCATCGAGCAACACGTCCAACACCTCCTAGGCCGAAGGTCGTCACGGGCCGACTTCGACGGCAGCCTGGACGATACGTTCGACAGTTACTACGATTCGCTCATCGCCAGCACGAGGACGGACGGGTGCTGCACCGCCTTCGCGCAGCTACCCGACGAGCTGAACACGAACGAGCTCGCTGTACCTCCTCAGCCTCTTCGCGCGGCGCTTTCACCCTCCGCAACACTCACGGCATCAACGACTACGACTTCTGAGAACTAGATGGTGGCGGCGGTGCGTGGGGGGAGGCATAATTTTGTCCTCTTCTCGCGTCTTGTCCGCTTGCCCTCGTCTCCTTCTCTTTCAGTGTACCCCGACTCCTCCTCGTCCTTCTCCTCCTCCTCCTCCTCCTCCTCCTCCTCCTCCTCCTCCTCGTCCACCTCCTCCTCCTCCTCCCGTAGCCATTTTGGCTCAAGGCTAAACGGAGAACGCTAACGTGATATAGCTGACTCCGATTAGCTTTGGGGAACTTCCGCCCTCATTCTCGAGCGGCGGGGCCAGGGGTTCGCGACCTCACCAGCTCTCGGGCCCCCTGGGCTCTTACACGTGCTTACCACTACCAGAGGGCTAGCAGGCGGCCCGAATATTTCTCACCTATCCGCGCATGCGATGGAGTCTGCTGCCGGTCGTGGCGTGGGCGGCGGTGGCAGAGACCCCTCATCGGATCGGAGATCCAGCTCGTCCGAGGCACGGGGCACATCTCGCAGCAACCCCCGCGGACAACGCAAGGACCGCTGGCGCGACCGTCGCGATCGATCTGATCGAGCAGCAGACGCTGCTGACGAACTCCGCCGCCGACCTGCCAACGAAGCTCATCCACGCCACGGACGACAGCAACGGCCACCTCAGCAAGGTCAACCTCAGCACTTTTTCACGGGAGACGGTCCATTGCAGGAACTGCCACAGCCACTTCCTGACGCCTGGGCTGGAGCTGCAAGAGCGGCTGGGCTACCCTCTCCAGCTGCCGGCGCCCCCGGCGGAGGGCCCCCTCAAAGCTCGAGAGGTACACCACATCCTGGCGGAAAGGGTGGCGCCGCAAACGAGACCCTGGAGCAGCGTCTCTCACGGGTCATCGGCGCCCAGTTCAACAGTTCCAGCACGACATGCAGCAGCACATCACGGCCTCGATGTCTGCCGCGATGGCCCACGTGCAGCAGGAGCTCGTCTCGACCATGCAGGTTCAGCTGGCTCCGACGGTTGCGCGACTCACGGCCGTGGAGGCCGACGCCAGGCGCCAGCAGGACCGCGCCGAAGCCTTCGAAGCACAACATCAGCAATTACGGCGCCAGGTCCAGCAGATGCAGCCGCCCTTGTCCATCGCCGAGGCGGCCAGCAGCTCGGAAGCCATTGGCGTGGCCAGGGTCGCGACGTGGGACAGGCCGACCAACCCGCAGCTCTTCAGCGTCAATACAGCATCAGAAGTACTCAAACAGGCTCTCATGGAAGGTCTCTCAGAATGGTTCGATCTTGCCCACGTTCGCAATGATATTGTTCAGATCGTCGGCCCTGACGCCCCAGGCAAGAAGTTTGCCCATCGCTGCCCAGGTGCTGAAGCAGGAGTCCTTCGTTCTCAGGCCCTCACTCGCGCTCTCCGTGGTTCCACCGGTCAGTGCAGCAAGTTCTTGGCTAAGGGAGTGGACGGATTCGAAACTCGCATATGCATCGGTGCTGATCGAAACCCGAAGCAGGTCCCGAAAGAAGTACAAACCAAAAAGCTGAAAGAGATCTTACAGCACATGACCCCAAATGGCGAATGGCGGGCTAAACGACAGATGGGCTTGGTCTATTGTGCAGGCGCCGCCGTGGTGGAGGTCATTCCTGGAGCTGCTCCGAGCGATCCCACAAATCTCGCTTGGAATCCGCAGCCCGCCGCCACCTACAACATCGACAAATGCGCCGCACCGCAAGCATTCCGCAACATGTTCCGGGAGGTGGACACTTCCACGTGGTCATGTTCCTGATGACCGCTGGCGTCCATGGGAACTCGAGCCCGGGGGGGCAGCAGGTTCAAATCGTGTCATGGAGCGCCTCAGCCTGCCTTACTCCGCCGTGATGCTACCCGTCGAAGAAGGTATCCAAACTGATCGCCCACATGAAGCATCGTGCCATCATTTGTCTCCAAGAGGCGCATGGGACGCACGAGGCGCTCGCCAACTACATCCACCAGTGCCCGTACGAGCACCAGATCTTCACCACCATGGTCGAGACGCCTGGAGTCGGCGGAGTGGCGATTCTAGTGCCCGGGCATTCTCCTCAACAGCTGGCTCTCCACCCGGTTGAACACCCTGTGTTCGACCGCCAGGTTCTGGCTCAGGGCCGCGCCCATTGCGCCTCGATATACAACCCAAAGTGGCAGAGCAGCGTGCGCATTATGAACATCCACAACCACGAGCTCGACCACAACCATCGTAATCGAATCCGTACCTTTTGGAATGGCAACGCAGCGTGGGCCCGGGGCGATGAGCTCAAGCGACTGGCAGTCGCGATTGGGGACTTCAGCGTTTCCGACCAGCCGAACGACTCGCTCCTCTTCCCTGAGGCGCGGCAGGCCCGTCTTTCTCAGGCCGGGCGTGGCGAACACCACGAGGCGTTTTGGCGAGTTTTGCTTGCAGGGCAAATGACGGAGATTGCGACCGATCTCCCCACCCACTTTTCCAGCCCTTCCCCCTCGCTTTCTACGATTGACCACGCCTTCGTCTCCCTCTCCCCCCATTTCCTCCTCGAGACCGAGGCGACCCTTGACCTGCTGCAGGAAGCCCCGAAGCTTTCCGACTGGCATCTTAGCGATCACGCGATCCTCTCGCTCACTTTGAAGCCACGCGGCGGCGCCCCGAAAGACCAGCAGGCCACCCCGCCGTTTATATCTAAGCATCCCAGGTTTTGCGAGGTGCTTAACAATTGCTTGGCTGGCTGCGATCTTGACTCCCTCTCTCCCCCCGCTGCCTGGTCCTCCCTCAGGGATAACATGATCGTGGCCGCCACAGTTGCCCGTCGCGAGGCCAAGCGCTTCCCAGACGGAGGGGGTCACACCATCGAGGCAAGGTGCATGGCACTCCGTTCAATCGCACGTGCTATTTGGCGACAGGACCTCAAAGCCACTACCAGGATCCAGGCAGACTCTGAGTATGGTAGGCGGCTTCTCCTCTTGGTAGGCCCTCGAGTTTTGCTCCAGGACGAGGATGGTTTTAGGAATGAGGTCGTCGCCCAGAATACTGCTCGCCACCACCAGCTCCAGGAACAGGCCGCGGCTAGGGCCCGGGCCAATCCTGGAGAAATGCAGCATCGGGGGAAAACCCAGGAGATTTCCAGTAGGAGAGCGTTGCTTTGGCGGCCTCGTCAGCGACGTCTTGTTCTTCGAGGCATTCGGATCTCTCAGACAGGCCACCAGAGCGACGTAGTCAGGGAGCCAGATCCGATAGCGGACACTCTCCAGGAGCATTGGCAACCCGTTTTTTTCGGAGCAGCCCAGACCGGTGCAAGATATCGAAAATTTTCTTGACGAGCACATGCCTGACGTTCTTGCCTATGAGTTTCACGTTCCCACCTCTGCTGATATGACTTAAATCGGTCACGTGACTCTGCGCCTGGCCCGGACCAACTCACATATGCAGCGTGGAAGAGCCATCCCAAATGACTTGCTGTACTCTACCGCCTCCTCCTCTACCCCATGGGCGGCAACCCCGCCCCTCCCGGCCTCAAACACGGTCTCTTTGCATTATCCCGAAAGGGGAGGACCCCAGGGATGTCACAGATTGCGTCCGAGCTCCAGGTGTCCTCAGACCTCTGACCCTCGAGAATTCGGACAGCAAACTCCTCGCGTCTGTGCTGAATCACCAGTTGCAGTGCTGCGTAGCCGGCCGGACCCACGTGGTCCAACAGGGATTTGTCAAAGGACGCAATCTAGCCTATAACGTGATTCGCATGGACACGGCTGCTCGCCGTGCTAGCGTAGTCAACGCCGACACCGATCCGCTCTTTGTAAGTTTCGATATCAAGGCGGCTTTTCCCAGCATGAACCAAACCTTGCTCCGACTTGTGCTGAAGAGGTGCCGCCTACCCCAGAGTTTCTTGTGGGCGATCGCTGCTCTGGCAGCCGACTCGCTGGCGCATATGCTGGTCGGATCTGTGGTCGTGCCCATGTTTTTGATCACTGCAGGCGTTCCCCAGGGGTGCCCCCTCTCTGGCTCCCTCTGGGCCCTCGGGTTTGACCCCCTTCCGTCACCTCGCCCTCCCCTTCCCCTCCAGAGAGCAAGCCACCCTGGTTGCGTGTTCCGACGATGTGAGTGTTGTGCTCAATCAGATATCGATGTTGCCACTGTTGAATGCGACCTTTCAGTTCGCTCAACCTCTCGCCGGGCTAGCCCTTCAGCCGGCGAAGTGCGTTGCCGTGCCGCTTGCCGTCGCCTGCACAGCAGTTGAATGCGCCCGCATCGCCAGTCAGATAGCTCAATTGGTGCCGGAATGGGCGGGCTTCCACATCGCTAGTTGGGCAAAATATTTAGGGGTCCTCATCGGCCCTGGGGCCGATCTCCGCGAGCAGTGGAAGGAGGCTGGCCAAAAGTGGTGGGCGCGGTCACGAGCGATTGCCTTGACTCGAGCCCCGAGCGAGGCTGCCATACGCCTGTATGAGTGCACGTGCTTACCAGTCTTAGGGTATCTTTCACAGTGTTTCCCGCTTTGCCCGAAAATCACACGCAAGGAATTTTTTGCCCTCCACAAGCTCCTCCGTCTTCCACCCAGCTCTTTCTCTCTGCACGATTTCTTCGGGTTGAGAAGCTGGCTCCGCTCCTCCACCCCTACCAGCGTGCAGGTGTATGCATTGGGATGCGCATGGCGTGCGTCCACGCACACACTGACTAATTGGGCGGGGGATTTTGAGTGTCGGTGGGACGGGTCGGACATGCACGACTTTCACATGAGAGTGCGGCAAGGTCTCCTCTCAGCGGACTGCTGGGCCGAAGGTTCAGGAATCCTGCAGCACTACAGGAAGTTCGTCCGCGGCTGCCGCGGCCTCCCTTTTCCTGCGAGTCGCATTCAAGAGGCGATCGCTGCAGCCAGCCCCAGAGCTAAAGGCACCCGGATGGAAGAAGGGGTGGGGCGTCGTCGTCAGCGTCGTGGGAGTGGGGGGAAACGGCTTCAGGGTGCCTTCATCGCTAAACTAACTAGTTTAATGTACCCGGATCGTTTCCACGAGCTTCTGTCCAGAAGACTCCGCACATGGTTCCCAAATTTGGACCCCCTGCCCGAGGACGAGATCCAAGCCAGATGGCTATGTCTCCGGCAGGTTTGAAAAAGATCGCAACCCAGTAAAGTTTGGTCTCATCTTAAGACTCTGGCTGGAGGGTGGATCACCAGCCACAGAGTCAAGATCCTCACCCCTTTACAGTGCCGATTTGGCTGCCCCAACTGCCCTGACTCGTTCCTCCACTACCTCTCTTGCCCCCTGCTACACCTCATCGCGCTGCCCCGTCTGCATATCCCTACCGCTCCTCCGTTCCTTTGGCTTGGCCTGGGATCCGAGGAGGAATACCAAGACACCGATCTCACGGTGGTCCTTGCACATGACTTAGTGAGTCTCGTTACCGTACATTCCATAAATTTCGTGCCGAGCTAGCTGACACCCCGCAGCCGCTCGGCAGCTATGCGCTACACCTTTCAATCCGCCATGTGGTGCTCACGAGGCAGTAAACCAGGGCTCGCCTATGGACGTGCGCTCATCCTCCTCCTCCTTCTTCTCCTCCTCTTCCCTTCTTCACCCGTCATCCCCCTTCTTCTCCTCACATTACCGTGATCCTGCTAGTGTTCATTTCCCTCGAAACCGATTTTATCTCCTCAGTATGTCAACTCCCAAGAAACACCCTGGCACCGCAATGATCCCCCTGGGCCCTAGAGCCCCCCAAAGTTTTTCTCCTCCTCCTCCCGCACTCCCGCACTCCCTCCGCCCTCCCCCCTTCCCTCCCGCACTCCCTCCGCCCGACTCCATCCCTCCCTGCCCCGAGGATGCGTGCGCTCCCCTCACCTTGCTGCAGGGGGACGCGCTGCAGGCCGGCGGGGCCTGTCAGGAGACGTGCACCCCCCCCCTCCCCTCTCGACGTGTCGAGGAGGAGGCGGCGGCGGCGGGGGAGGGAGGGGGAGGCGGGGAAGGAGGGGGAGGAGGAAGAGAAGGAAAAGGAGAAGGATAAGTATAATAATGAGGAGAAGGCTGGGGAGAAAACGAGGAGGATGATGATGACGATGAGGAGGAGGAGGAAGAGCAGGAGGTGGAGGAGGAGGAGGAGGAGGAGGACGAGGAGTAACTAGAACGAGGAGGGAGAGGAGAAGGGTTAGGAGGAGGAGGAGGAGGAGGAGGAAACGGAGAAGCAGGAGGAGGCGGGGGAGTAGGCTTGAAACGTGGGGAGTCGGAGGGGGGGGTGGCATCCTTTCCGAGAGGGCTGCGCATTCGGGAAAAGGGGTTTCTGCGGGGTCGCTGGGCTGTGCTCGTCTCGCTCGGTCACTCGTCGCGCGTTTTGCTGGATTCGGCTCGCGCGCAGGCGCCCTGTTCCAAGGGTCGGGGTCTTGCGCTCCCGCCCACCTCGCCCTTTTTCCCCAAACCATCACCCTTCGTTGTTGGGTCCCTGTTTTGAATCTGCTGCACCCCGCGTCCCTGCGGTGGTCGCGCCTGCAGAGGGTTGGGGAGATTCGCCAGGATGTGTTTTGTTGCGTGCCTGCTGCAATTCGCTTCCCTTCGGGGGGGCTGCGCCTGGCCAGTGCTCCTGGCGACCGTCCTTGGGTCGCCGCGGACCTGGCCAGGCCGGCCTACAGCTCCTGAGGCACCACCACACGAGGCATATGTTGCCAGACGCTGGAACGGTCACCTGGGCCTCGGCGTAAGAGAACCCCTATCTTGCTCCGTCCCCTGCCACAGTACGGCGAGCAAGCAGAAGGAAGAGGACGGGGAGAGGGTTGAGACACAAGGATGAAGACGATGACGACGACGACGACGACCACGACGACGATGACGACAACGACGAGGACGACGACGACGAGGACGATGATGAGTATGGTGATGATGTTGCTGATGATGGTGATGATGAGATGATGGTGGTGATGGTGGTGATGATGATGAGGATGCTGCTGCTGCTGTTGCTGCTGATGATGATGATGATGATGATGATGCTGCTGATGACGATGTGGAGGATGACGACAAAGACGACGATGATGATGATGATGATGATGATGATGATGATGATGATGATGATGATGATGATGATGATGATGATGATGATGATGATGATGATGATGATGATGGAGATGGCGACAATCATGGTGACGTTGGTGGTGATGCTGATGCCAATGCTGGCCGGATCGCCCGCAGAGGCCTTCGCAACTCCCGCAGCGGTTCTGGACGAGGCCGAGAGGCTGGCCGCCGCGGCGCAGGAGGCGGTCGCTTCCGCGAGGGCCACGGCGACCCGGGGACACCTCCTTTGGGGGCGCTCCAGAAAATGGCTTCGCCCTCGAGGGCCGAGGCGGTTGACATCTCCTTGGCGGCAGGCCGGCGGAAGGCTGACAAAAGTACAAGGGGGGGTGGCTCCGCTAGTGGAAGCCGGCGTAAGAGCGGGGGAGGCGGGGTGTGCCCTGTGGAAGCGGCGGCAGCTCGCCCTTCTCCGAGGGGCGGCGGCCGACGGCGGTGGTGGTTCCGCTTGCGCTCCTGCTGTTGCTGCTCCTTCTCTCTCCCCTTCCTCCTCCTCCGCCTCCTCCTCCTCCTCCGCCTCCTCCTCCTACTCTGGCGCCTTCTCCTCCCCTTCCTCCTCCTCCTCCTCCTCCTCCTCCTCCTCCTCCTCCTCCTCCTCCTCCTCCTCCTCGCTCCCACCTTCTCTCTCCTTGCTCCTCTCGTCGGGCGTGTCGAGGTGAAGGAGCAGCAGGCCAAGCTGAACCTCGAGCCCAGAAAGGTGAACGGCCCCGTCGTCGAGGCCAAGAAGGCCATCATGGCCTACCTGGCCCAGGTGGAGTCCTCGGATAAGGCGGTTGCCAAGCTGATCGCCGCTGTCCACGAGAAGTGCCGGGAGATCACGGCGAGCCTCTCTCAGCAGTGTGCGGCGTCGCTGCGGGCCCTGGGCAAGCCGAACGATGAGCTCTTCGCAGAGTTGGCGCTGCCCGAGGAGGAGCGCATACCCGAGGAGGCGATGCGAGCGCGCCTGCTGGCCCTGGACGGCGTGAGCCTCAAGCCAGAGCACGCCGCGCTGATCTGCCGGCAGATCGGGGCTGGCGGGATTGGCAAGTTTGCGTTCCTCAGGTTCTCGCGAGGGAAGACCGGTGTCAATGATACGCTGGCGTTTTGGTAGCCTGTCAGCGTGTTACTCCTTCGCTTTTGTCCAGAGGCCTGGCGTCCCTTCAACAGTAATGCGCTGATGGGTGCCCTACAGCGGGGGGTCATTGATACTGTCGCTACCCGAGGTTCATGCAGCGTTTTTATGTGGTCATGAAGTCCAGCGTTGTCACGGACGAGTTCGACATCGAGTCCAGCAAGGTTCTGCGGAAGCTGGACGTCGACGAGGTGGTGGAGCTGATGGATGGGCCAAGAAAGGACGAGAAGGTTGGCCTCACGCGCATACAGGCGAGGTGTCTCAGAGACAACGCCGAGGGCTGGACATCAGAGGGCAAATCGGAGGGGGGACCAGTGGAGACAACGCCAGCCCTTCCCTGGCGTTTCCACTCCTTTCAGAAACCTCATGGAGGCTTATCGTCGCCACGGCTGGATCCGCAGCGTCGGAACGGGTCAGGGTTGGCCCTGGGGGGAGGGAGCTGGGAGCCGATGTTTGGTGGATCCGGGCCCGGGCGGGAGAGCCCCCGTCGTCGCAACGGGTCCTCCTCCGGGAAAATATGCCCCTCGCCTTGGGGGCCCATGTCTCTCCACGATACCATCGACTACGCGTAAGAGTGCCACTTGAAGTGCCATTCAGGGCACTCGAACTCAGTCGGCGGAATTCCGAGGTTGCCCGTTGGCACAAAACTTTCCAGTGGCGCCCCGCCGATCGTCGATGCGGCGCGGCAACGCCCGCTTGCGCGATTGGGTTGGGCCCCCACGGGCGCCCCTGAAGCCGCGCACAAAAGGTCACTCTAGCCTAGGGTCACAACTACGTGTAGTCGATACCAACTTGGCCGCGGGATGGAGAACAACCGATTGAAGATGATGTCTTCGGGCGAGGCCCGAACTTGTTTCTCGGGAAGTTCCTGGCCGATTGACTGACGGACTCTCCACACCCGTCAGCGGGCCAGTTTGTGTGTTGGCTGGCGGCGCAGCCTGAGGCGCAGCCAGTGGCAAACCGCCTGTCGGTGCCGCAACCTGCAGCGCAACCTATGGCGCAACCCATGGCGAAACACGTGGCGGATGTCATGACACAAATTCTGGCACAACCCACCGCGTGACCTCCAGCGCATTTTAATTTTCTTTCTGGCGCCAGCTGTGGGGCAACTGACGCAGCCCACTACTCAACCCATGGCATCCCGTCTGGCGCAATCACTGGCGCAATCCATGTTGTAGCCTCTTGCGCGTGTCATGACACAGCTTATTGCACAACTCATTCCGCAGCCCCTGTTGCAATCGGAGGCGCCACATGTGCTGCAACCCACCCGCGAAACAACTTGCGGCGCAGCAGCCATGGCGCAACCTGTAGTGGCGCATTCCTTGGTACAACCCGAGGCGCAGCCTCTGCCGTGACCCTGTGCGCAACCCATGTCGCGCCTCCGGGCGCTCCTACAGTCAAGACGCTGGAGCAAGGGCCACTCTGGACTCACGAGGGGCTCTGGCGTTCGGGCCGTTCCTCGGATGTAGGTCTCGGGGGCCTGTTCTTAGCCGAGGCTCGCCGTGTCCGGAGAAGCCCCTCCGCTCCTTTGCCAGCGCTCCTTGGTGGTAACACGATGGCCGTACATGTTTTTCCTCTGAGGATAAGCGTTAAGGGCAACCAGGGCACCTCCTTCTTGGAGGAGGTGGACAAGCCCTACTATGTCTGCTCGGCCAGCATGGCGCTGGACATGGACGCCAAGGCGGAACAGAGAAGCCCAAGCGCCACGCCTCTCTTTGTACCAGTTAGGATGCATGGATCTCAAGCGTCCTAAATGGGGAGGTGACTGCGGGAGGTTTGATTGGCATCGACCCGCCGACGACCGCACCGCGGCCGCTCAAGGTTGAACGCCACCAGCGGCCGTTGGGGCACGATTGAACGACCTGCGCTTTCGGAACGCCACTGTCGTTCAAGGTCGAACGTTTCGCGCGGCGTCAGATACTAGTACCGACGTCGTCACGCGCGAACCTGCCGCAAGGGTGCGGATGAGAGGGATGTGAGGAGGCATGGAGGGAGTAGGAGGAGGACAGGACTCTACGCCGCTTCCATTTCCGTCGTGAGGCGTGTTGCGCACATGCCCCAGTCGGGAACACGGGAATGTTCTTCTTGCAAGTGCCCCCCTTGGAGCTTCTTGGAGCCGCTGGTCTGATGTCTCTCAAGGGCGTCTACAGCCAATCATCTTTTCGCGTGACGGAGGGCTTCCACACGGGTGACTTTGCATACTCAACTCGCTTGTCAACCCTCGGTCAACTTGCTCGGCAGTGCAGGAATCTGCGCAAACGCGGGCAGGACACCGAATGCAGATTGAACGGCCATTGCTATTTCGTATTCCGATGTGTCGTTGCAAATTGCGTTGCTCTCAACACGCCCAAGCAAGGCCATCCTTAAACATCGATCATCGAACGACGGCCATCCGTACCCTGTGCCCTTCAGCTGAGGTTTGAGCGCATGCTGGCTCAAGGCGACTCTGGGCGCCGACAGAAGGGGGCAATAGCCTCGTACAGCCGTCATTCAGCATGTCGATCCGATCGATCCTATTCGATATCGATTTTGGCCAGCCCGATCCGGTTCGATTTCGATGCTCCGACGATCCGCTGCGACCCGAGGCACGCATGGCGCTGTTGTGCACCCTGGCGCAGCCGATGTGCTTCCGACTCCGTGCCGGTTGGGCCAGATTCGACGCACGCTCCGAACCGATGCGGTTCACACGGGGCTGGGAAGTATACACCACCACCACCACCACCACCACCACCACCACCACCACCACCACCACCACCACCACCACCACTTCTCTTGCACCCTCCCTCTCCCACGAAAGAGGAGAGGAAGAGGAGGGAAGAGGAGGGACAAGGAATGGAGGTGGGGGTGGTGCACATTCTTGGGACCCGCAATTAATCGATTCGACGCTGACCGTTCCTGGGCGTCCCGGGCCCGTGCCCCTGTCAGGGCCAGCGCCCTGCCTTGTCGTGGCTCTTGCTCCGAGGCGGGGGCTCGTCCATGACCACTTCCTGGGGATCGCTCTTCGGGCACCTCGCCCGGCGGCGAACACAGACATGTTCGGGCCCTGGGAGGGGGGACGACAGCCGCCTGCCGAGGTCTCCGAAGGTCGATGCCTCAGCCTCAGGCCATGCTTAGCTATGGATGGATGCCCCCTTCACGCCTTCTGTCTCCATCCTGGGAAGACGAAGGAAAGGTCACATGAATGTAGACTTCCAGGGTCCGCGCGGAGTTCTTGGATCGGTGCTGGGCCCCTGGCGCGTTCCGCCCGCCAGGTGGAGAGTGGGGGGTGCCCGGCGCCAGTCCAAGAGATTCGCGCGGATCTCCGCCTCTGACCGCTGATGCTCACTTCGGTAGCAGCTTTGGTCCAGCGTGTTGCTCCGCCGGCCCTGGCCCACCACCCTTCGACGCGACACGCTATCCACGTCCTCGCCCCCAGGCGTCACCGTCCCGCGCCCTGCCCAGCCTCCCGCCCCGCGGAACGGAGCGGCATGCCGTCCGCTCGCAAGGCGCAGCGTGCCGCTGGGGCCGCCGCCGCGACGCGCGGAGCAGGCACTGCCGGCCGTGTGCTTGGCCTGTCTGCTGCTGCCTGCTCGGGGCCAGCCCGGCGGGCGGGAGCAGAAACGGGCGCCTCGCCTCGGGTGTCGCCAGGAGGGACCCCTGGCCCGGCCCCCACGGCCTCCAGAGCACCCTTCTCTCGCGAGGTCCAGGGGGCCCCGTGGGGCTGCAGAGCAGGACGAGAAGCTGGGGGCACCTTGGGCCAGGGGCACCTTTCGTAAATCCCCGGGAGGGGGAGGAGGAGGAGGAGGAGGAGGAGGAGGAGGAGGAGGAGGAGGAGGAGGAGGAGGAGGAGGAGGAGGAGGAGGAGGAGGGGGAGGCAGCGAGAAGAGGAGGAGGAGGAGGAGCAGGAGGAGGAGGAGCAGGAGGAAAATGCATCCTCAGGTTTCGTCCTCCTCCTCCTCCCTCTGCCCTCCGCCTCGCCTTTCCCGGGCCAGTCCGCCGATTCGGGCACGGGCGCGCGCCTTGTTCGAGTCCAAGTCGGATGTCCTCGTCGTCGTCGTCCTCCTCCTCTTCCTCCTCTGCGATGGGGAGGAGGACAAGGCCTCGTCGTCCTCGTCGTCGTCGTCCTCCTCCCTCGTCCCCCTCGTCGTCGTCCTCATCCTTCTCCTAGTCGTCGTCCTCCTCCACCTCGAGAAAGAAATCTATGTCCCCCTCGTCGTCGTCGTCGTCCTCCTAGGCGGCCGCTCCACCACTCGTAACACCCCTTGGCTGTCTCACAATTCCCCAAGCAGTGTTTGCACTTTGGGGGTCTTACTTGGTCTGAAAGGAACTGGGCCTGAGTGTTGGTACGGCTGGCTTATTGTCGCCGTCGCCGCCCGCCGCCGCTGCTTCGTCGCATGGGTTTCGGCCGCGGCGCGTAGAGCCTCCCCAAAGCGACGGAAACCTCCTCCTCCTCCTCCCCCCCCTCCTCTTCTCGCTGCCTCCTCCTCCTCCTCCTCTTCCTCCTCCTCCTCCTCCTCCTCCTCCGTCCCCTCCTCCCCCTCCTTCCCCTCCCCCTCCCCCTTCCCCTCCCCTTCCCCCTCCTCCCTCCCTTCTCCTCCCTCATCTTCCTCTTCTGGCGCCCGCGAGGGCAAGAGCGAGGTGCCCGTGCGCGCCCTGCTGGCGGGCGAGGCGGTGGAGCTCGTCGAGGGCCCCCTCAAGGAGAGGCTTCAGCCGAACACGCGGGCCAGGGGCAAGGCCCGCCTCCTGATCCTCCAGCTCCCGACGCTTTGCCTCCTCCTCCTCCTCCTCCTCCTCCTCCTCCTCCTCCTCCTCCTCCTCTCTCCTCCTCCTCCTCCTCCTCCTCCTCCTCCTCCTCCTCCTCCTCCTCCTCCTCCTCCTCCTCCTCCTCCTCCTCCTCCTCCTCCTCCTCCTCCTCCTCCTCCTCCTCCTCCTCCTCCTCCTCCTCCTCCTCCTCCTCCCTCCTCCTCCTCCTCCTCCTCCTCCTCCTCCTCCTCCTCCTCCTCCTCCTCCTCCTCCTCCTCTCCTCCTCCTCCTCCTCCTCCTCCTCCTCCTCTCCCCCCCTCCTCCTCCTCTCTCTCTCTCTCTCTCTCTCTCTCTCCCATCCCAGGGGGGGCGAGCCCCCGCGGAGTCCACGCATGCAACGTCCTACTCGACGTCCAGCTCCCTGTGCGGTCCCACCGCCAGGCGCCCACTATGGACTTGACCGAGACGGCGAGGTGCACCCAGCTGCATCTCCACGACCACGTTCTCACCGGGGAGCCGCACGGCGTCGGCCGACGGCCACAGCTGGCCGCAGCCGCAAGCTGTCCAGCCTTAGCCTGCTCCCTCGGAGTGCAGCAAATGCCCGCACGAGAGGAGGGAGCCCTCGACCAAGGCCCAATCAGCTCCTTCATCCTCCTGCACGTTCGCCTCGGGGTACCTCTCAGGCGGGACGAGGAGGGCTCGGAGCTCACTGTCCTGCGGCCATGGCTGAGAGCCACCACAGCGGAGCGCGGGCTGCGCGTCCAGCAGGGCCTCGCCCAGCAGCTCCAGGAGTGGCCGCGGCAGGTCCCAGCTGCGGTTGGCCACACATGCAGCAGGCTGCGATACCAGGCCTCGCTGATGCATGGCCGCAGAGAACTGCTGGCAGTTGACAGCCAGCACCTGGCCAAACTCCCTCTGCGCACCTCCGAGGTCAGCCATGTCGAATGTTGTCGTCGTTGCTTCGGGCCTGTCCGCCAATGCTCGCACCGCATCCAGCCTCCAGAGGGCCGCTGCCCTGTCGGCCACAGGGGCCATATGCAGGAGCAGCGCAGCAGCGCCCGCAGCAGTAGCAGCCGCCAGAAATAGGATACCTGCCCTGATCCCAGCGTTCTCTCTGCGCAGCGTCGTAGCCCAAAACTTGCTCAGCCTGTCCGCTCCTCAAGGGCGGTCTTGTGGTCGAACTGGCAAGTTCTTGGCACTGCTCGAGCCCTGCACGGTCGTCCACGATGCAGTCGGCGGTGTGACAAGAACTCCAAGCACTACACCAAATTGAATCCTTGATACCATTTGTCCAAGAAACTTGAATCCTCCAGTCTCCGAGAATGTGTTGGCTCATTGCAGTCAATAGATAATACAGTCATGTTGAAAACACCAGCGTCTCTACCCATAATATCGCCAAAGTCATCCTCCCGTCTGGGGCCCCATCCCAAGTGTAAAACGTATGCATGCACCTAATGTCCCTGGGGGCCGATAGGCAGCGGCTGCGGCTCGGAGGCCCACTGCACACATGGCGGTAGAGGCCTCTCATCAGGCACAGCTGCCTGACGCAGACCAGGGATCGCAGGGCGAAGCGGAGCGATTGACCTGAGTCCTTGCTTCCGTTTGTCCGCCGCGATCTCATGGTCATGCCTCTGCCACTCCGCAACAGCATCTGCCTCCAGTGGTGTAGCAGACGCCAGGAGGTACTTGAGACAAGCACCAGTAGGCCTCCGCAAATGCCGCACCAGTCCTACTCGCTCGGAGAAAATAGCCCCACACCAGAGACAGTCAGTTCCATCTGCAAATAACTGCGCCGCGTCAACAGGTCGATGCTTCCTGGTCCAATGGCCTCTATACCCAGCAATAGTTGTGAAGCTCTGGTCGCACTCGTAGCAGAAGAAGGCTATTTGTTGTCCATCAGTGCCAGCGTCGCCACATAATCCAGGAAACACATGATTGATCTTTCTCTGCATGAAGTCGTTCATATACTGGTCCAACCTCCTCCTCCTCCTCCTGCCATGTAAGGGCTCGAGGGATGAGCCGTTGTGGCCAGCATTCCCTTCGCCCTTGGGCCTGGTGCGCCCTGGTGCCCCATCGGTTTCTGGAGGGCTTCATAGCTTGCGGCTCGCCGCATACCTTGAGGGTATTGCTGGACCGGTCTTCGCGTTTGCCGTCGACGCGTTCGTGAAGCGATCGGGCGGTCTATCTAGCAGTAGGATCCCGCCCATTGGTAGAACCATAATCCTCCTCCTCCTCCTCCTCCTCCTCCTCCTCCTCCTCCTCCTCCTCCTCCTCCTCCTCCTCCTCCTCTCGGGGATTACTAGAGGTGCACCTTGCCCAAGGTGCCCCCCAGGAGTAGGAGGTCGGCTAGTAAAAACGTGCTGGGGATCACGGCCATGTGCACCTCAGTGTATGTGTAAAGGTGTAGCCAGCATAGCGGGGTATTGAGGCGAGGCGTTGATGAGGAAGTCTCAGGCAAAGCAGTTGCCAACACCCTGTCCTCCCTGTGTGGGACTCTTCTGCGGTCCTTGCGTACTGCTGCTCGAGCCCTCTAGCGAAACTCTATCAGGAGAAAAAAGCGTCCTGCAGGCGCAGGCGCGAGGGAGGGGCCGCCCCCCGGAGGCCGTGAGCGATGGCGCGACCGGCTGGGTCACCGTCGTCAGCAGCAGAGGCGCCACCTTCCTCGAGGAGCTCGGGTGGGGCTACGATGCAGCAGGGAGGGCTCTGACATCCTCGCGGCGTGAGAGTACCCCCAAAGGTTTTCGGACGGTTTCGTCGGCTCTCAGGACGCCGTCGTCGTTCACTCCTTATCCCGCAACCGCACCTTGGTTGTAGGTTAGAGGCCTTGTGGCCCGTCTTGGGGCCATCTGAGGCAAGGCCGCGCAAGTCATGCGGGCAGACGCCCCAGGGGAGCGCCTGGAGCTCCAGGAGATTTGAGAGGGGCCTGGGCCCCTTAAGAGACTTTCAGGCTTGAGGACTGAAGCTCAGCGGATCGAGCGAGAGACCTGAGGACCTTCCGGCTCGTGGCTCGCCGCCACGGCTGGATTCGCCTCGAAATTGTTGACGCTTCGCGAATCCCCACCAGCCAATCCAGAAACGATGCCCAGAGGAATTGCCTCGATCAGGGAAGTGGGCAGCACACAGAGGAAGCCATTATGAGACATCTTGGAATACACCGCACTCACATCTATACCCCTGGGTGGGTGTATGTGCTGCCGTTTTTGCGCTGTCATGTGCGCGCATGTGCGCGGCATGTGCCAAAGCTCTGGGTTGCGAAATGCCCCGAGCTCAGGTGGTCAGGCCACTGTCGCCTGCGACATCTCTGCTGCATGTGCGGGCATGTGCGTCTATGCTTTCAGAGTTTTGCTTGACCGTGCATTCGACTGTGCGTCGGACGGTCTGGCATGTGCGCGCATGTGCGGCACTGCTGTTGAGGCTTTTGTGTATTTGCATGGGCATGTGCATGCGACTGTGCGGCATGTGCCTGCATGTGCGGCCCCTTCCGGACCACAATTTCAAAGTGAGCACTATAGAAGTGAGCGCTATAGAAGTGAGTCCGGTGTATCTTGAGCCATCTTGGAGGTCATTCTGGGCTCTCCCAGGCGCTCTTGGAGTCATCTTAATCAGTGCCCCCCCAAGAGGCCAACATGTGGCTAAAGCCTTGGTAAAATCAATGATTTGGCATTCTCGCCGAGGCCTCTTGGAGCATCTTGGGTGCCTCTGGGGTGTCTCTTGGGGCCTCTTGGGGGTCTCTTGGGGGCCTCCTGGGGGCCTCTTTGGTGCCTCGGGCCATCTTGGGGCCATCTTGGGACCTCTTGGGGCCTCCTGGGCGCTTCTTGGGGCCATCTTGGAGGAAATCGATTGAAGAAGAGGGGAGCTTCAATTAGGGTTGCCCCCCCAGGAGGCCAAAATGGAGCCCAAACCCTTGCAAAATCAATGATTATGGTTTCCTTGCCGAGGCCGTTTTGGACGCTCTGACCGCTCGCGGCCCCCCCCGTCCAGGTCCACGGGGAGGGGGTAGGGGGAGGGGTAAACCCCTCCCCGAAGGGGAAGAGGGAGGGGTGGAAGAGGAAACGCCCTAAACCACCGACGCCCAGAGGGCTGGTGGGATTCTGGTCAGAACGCTCCCTGGGATACTTCCGTGGAGTAGCGATTTCGGTGCCCCTGGCCTTTTCATTATCGCACTGGACCCTGACATCCTCGCGTCGTGGGAACACCTCGAGGTAGCGCCAACGTGGATCAGCGCGCGTGGATTCGCTGCGTGTCACGCTCCCGTGCAGAGCCGGCACTCTCCGCCGCCAGGCTAGGTGGCACTGGCGCCATGTTTCGGGGCTGCTTTCCCTGATCCGTGGACCTGGCGCCTGGGCGCCGGGTCCGCAGATCCGCAGTCCGCAGTTAGCGTCTCCGGCGCCCGATCCATTCCGACCCCATCTGGTAGGCCGTGAGTCTCGGACGACTTGGTGCCACCACCCGGTTTGGGGACTCGTGACGTCCCGAACGTTTGTGGGTCCAGGAGTCACACACCCGGCGGCGACCCCGTGCTCCAGAACCCGGCTGTGACGTTTTGGGGATTCCAGGTCACCACCTGATATCTCACCATCTGGTTTGGGGGCTCCCAATGTAAGGGCTGACCCCCCGAAAGGAGGGGCGGTTCTTCACCTGCGTGGCAGCCGTGCCGCTGACGGACGAGCTGGGCGCGAACGAGGCGAAGGCAGCGGGGGGGGGTCGCCCGCGCTCCCTGCAGGGCGTCCCGATTCGTCTGGCTCGGTCTGCGAGTCTGCCGCCCTCGTCCTCGAGGTTCGAGGAGCCCTTCTCCAGGAAGGCAGGGGTCCGAACGGGACCGGATCCTGGAGTTCCTCCGCGTTTGCGGCCTCCCCCGGGCCCTCTGCGAGCCCTGGAACCGAGTGGCTTGCACAAGAGCGTTTGCAGGCCCCGAAACTGAGGGTTCTTGATCTCTCGGTGTGTCATATTGGTGGTGCGATGTGTGGATGGTTCAGTCCATGAGGCGCAATCAACGTGGTGCAGTATACGATGCGTTCCAGAAAGGGCCTGGCCTTCGAGGATCGAAGGAGTGGCATCTCTCCCTCGGCGGAACGCGGTGGAAGGGTGGCGGGAGGCGGCGGAGGCAGAACGAGGCCGCCTCCGGCGGCGGAAGCCCGCGGAAGGGTTGCGGAAGCAGGCGGAGGTAAAAGATGGGCCCCCCTCGTTCTTTCTCTCGCTCCCTCCTCGCTCGTGTCCTTCCCGTCGAGGACCTTGCCAGATCCTGAGAACCTCGGTCGTCTGACCGAAACCCACACTGGCGACCAATCCCCCGCAGCTTCTGCCCTGGGAGATAGGCGCTCCTTTTGCTTGGGCCCAAACGCCGGCGCTACAGGTAAGCGTGTCAGTACAGTGAAACATGGGAAAACGGGGACCCCCACAATCCACACTCGTATTATCCCACCAGCCCTCTGGGCGTCGGTGGTTTAGAGCGTTTCCTCTTCCACCCCTCCTTCCCCTTCGGGGAGGGGTTTACCCCTCCCCCTACCCCTTCCCCACTGACCTGGACAGGGGGGGACGCGATCGGTCAGAGCGTCCAAGATCGACCCCTGGAAGGGCTAAAATTCGACACCCCTCACGAGGATCGTGGCTCCTGAGAGGGGGGGCTGAAATTTAGGACCCCCCCTTCGTTGATCGATCTCCTCCAAGATGGCTCCGAGAGACGTCTTGGACCCCCTCTTGGGCCCTGCGCGCGGGCGGGCGGAGCGCCGCCCGCCCGCCCGCAAGGCCCAAGAGCCCACCAAAACGTTCGAAGACACTTCCAATACGCCACCAGGGAGGAGGAAGAGGCGGAGGAGGAGGAGGAGGAGGAGGAGGAGGAGGAGGAGGAGGAGGAGGAGGAGGAGGAGGAGGAGAGGAGGAGGAGGAGAAGGCGGAGGAGAAGGAGGAAGAGGGGAGGAGAACAGCTGCCGATCATCGGCGCTCTTCGTTCGAGTGCCTGGTGTAGGATGGGCTGGTGGGGATACGCGAAGCGTCAAGAATTCTCTCTGACTAAGCATGCTTGCGAGCCGACGCTGGCTCAGTTCAATACCAAAAAAATGTATGGAGAGCGAGCCGACATAGGAATACGTAGCACCCCGCAATTGCGGATAAGAGTGAGGGGGCGGGCGCGGGCGACGCGGGCGTCGTCAAGCCGGCGGACCTCGTGGCCCCCACCTTCCCTGTCGATGGCGCTCTCTTCCTCCTCCTCCTCCTCCTCCTCTTCCTCCTCCGCCTCCTCCTCCTCTTCCTCGTCCTCGTCCTCGTCGTCATCGTCATCGTCGTCCTCCTCCTCCACCTCGTCCTCCTCCTCCTCCTCCGCTTCTTCCTCGTCCTCCCTCTGCCCCCCTCGTCCTTCCATCATCGTCCTCCCATTGTCGTCATGTTCCTCCTCGTCGTCCTCCTCCTCTTCCCCCCCTCCCGATCCTCCCCCCTCCTCCTTTTCGTCGTCGTCGTCGTCGACGTCGTCGTCGTCCCCTTCCTCGTCCTCCTCCTCCTCCTCCTCCTCCTCCTCCTCCTCCTCCTCCTCCTCGTCCTCCTGCAAAAGCAGCCCGCCGCAGGCGCCGAAAAATTTGGTTTGTACACTGAACGTGGTTTGGGTCGCGGGTGGGCCGCGGGTTCTCCACCGGGAACGAATGCAAAAGATGCCCGCCGCAGGCGCCGAAAAATGTAGTTTGTACCCTGAACGTGGTCGCGGGTGGGCCGCGGTCTCTCCACCTAGAACAAATGCAAAAGATGCCCGCCGCAGGCACCGAAAAATGTGGTTTGTACCCTGAACGTGGTTTGGGTCGCGGGTTGGTCGCGAGTTGATCGCGGGGTGGGTCGCGGGCTCTCCACCTGGAAGGAATGCAAAAAAAGCCCGCCGCAGGCGCCGAAAATGTTGGTTTGTACCTTGAACGTGGTTTGGGTCGAAGGTGGGTCGCGGGTGGGTCGCGGGGTGGTCGCGGGTGGGTCGCGGGTGGGTCGCGGGCGGGTCGCGGGTGGGTCGCGGGGTGGGCCGCGGGCGGGTCGCGGGGTGGGTCGCGGGTGGGTCGCGGGTGGGTCGCGGGTGGGTCGCGGGGTGGGTCGTGGGGTGGGTCGCGGGTGGGTCGCAGGTGGGTCGCGGGTGGGTCGCAGGGTGGGTCGCGGGGTGGGTCGCGGGTGGGTCGCGGGTGGGTCGCGGGTGGGTCGCGGGTGGGTCGCGGGATGGGTCGCGGGTGGGTCGCGGGGCGGGTTGCGGGTGGGACGACGACAACAAACAACAACAACAAACAACAACAACAACACGAATCCGCACCGCGGAATCTCACTTCAGCCACGCACCCAGGGACAGTGAATGACCGTTCGGCCCCCTCACTCTGATGTATAAATATGGAGGTGCCGCTCACTCACGAGCGACTGCATCAAACAATCTCATCCCTTCGAGGATCGTCCGGCCGTCGGTGTCCTGGCACGGCCCAGGAGCTCCTGCTTCTGCTTCTCGAGGCGGATCGCCTTGACTTCAGCACGCAGCTCCTTCTCCTCGGACCACCACTTCGTGTCTCTGTCCACGAGCAGTGTATTGCACAGGCGGCAACGCACCTTCTCCTTGTGCCGGTTGGTGCCCACGGTCGAGAGCTGATCGGCTGGGTGCACACACACTCGTCTGGGTTAACTCGTCTTGAAGTCCTGAGCTTGCCCTTTCCTCTCTCGTTGCCTTTGCCCTTCGGGATGTCTTCCGTGTCGTGACTGGCTCTGCGGCACTTGCTGCATCCGGCTGCAGGTATGCCTCTAGGATATCTTCCTCCAGTACATCGCCCAGGTCGTGCTCCACCTGCGTGTAGGATGCGTGCCTCAACCGCTCATGCAGTCTGCGAGCTTTCTCCATCGGTAACTCCGTAGTCTTCTTCCTGGTTGTCGATCCTCTGGACTGCTCGGTCTGCCCGGGAATCTCGACCCATTCATCACCATCATTCGGAACATGGATTTTGTGGTTGGCCTTCTTGCGGGTCCTCGGCTGACATTCCATCCGACATACTGCACATGCCACCAACGTAGCACTAGCTCCAGCGGCGCCTCCTCCGATCTCCTCGGTCTCGGCACCCGCGGCGTTCATCATGTAGATCTCCGTCACGTCGTCCAGATCCGCCGTATCGTCCGTGGTCTGGTTCTCGTCCGAAATGATGTTCACGTCCTCTTGGTGCTCGATGTCGTTGGTCGTGTCCGTCTCCTTCAAGTTATGCTTCTCCGTGAAATCTCTCTCGTAGTGCTCAAGAGCCTCCTAGGTTGATGCGTATATCGTCAACAACTTGCGCACATGGGTCGGAATCCTCCGACGCTTCGCCACTTGGTCCAGTCCCGACAAATCGACCATGTCTTCGCGCTGGCCCAGCATCATTCGCCAACGGATGTAGTTCTTGGGCGCTGGTCGAGCTGCACGCGCATTGTACCTCAAGTCCGCAATGCAGTCCTCGAAGTAGGTGGAGCCTTCCCGCACGGAGGGCTGGTCGGCAGGCCGATGCCGACGAGGATACTTCGAGCGGTAGTGCTCGCCCCTGCGACCCTTCAGATCCATCCGTTGCTCGGAGATCACCTGCTCTGCCGTGGGGTCCTCCGTCAACCGGTACTCGTCCGTCCGGCGCACGTACCTCATGTAGTCGCCCGCGCGGACGTCCTGCTTGGTAAGACAATCGGCGAGCATCTGCTTGGTGTTCACCCATTTGCTCACCACGCTGTTGAACTCCATGTCGTTCCTGAGCGACTCGATGTCGATGAGCAGCCGCGTCTCGGACGGGACCGTCCCTCGTTTCTGCAGCAAGTCGTAGAGCGACTTACACTCCGTGACCTCCACCATCTTGATCGCCTTTACGTCATCCATGTGGATCCGGTAGCCCCGCCAGCGGTGCAACTCCACCAGGTGCTGTCTCAGCATGTCGCCACTCTCGACTGCTTCAAGCGCTGCCATCGTCTCGGCTGCCAGGATCACCACAACATCGGGGTAACCTTAGCAGGCTGCCCACGTAGGAACTGATCGTCAGTGTTGTCCGCGAGCAAGAAGACCAGGCCCGCCTGGCTAGCGGTCTTCTTCTTGCCCACGTTCCCGTGGCTCGAGTCCCCCACTGCCACCACAATCACGTTGTCCATGTCCAGCTTCTGGAAGGTTATGTCCACGTGGTCGGTCTTGGCGTCGCCCACGAGCTTGTTGAATTCTAGCCGGTCTTGTACCTTGAAGTAACTGTCGTGAGCCCGAGCTTGACTTTCCACCAGCCGGAACGCCAAATCTATCCTCGTAGAACGGACCAGCCATTGAATCTGGCCGTTGCCACTGTGGAGCGTAGCCCTTTCCTCCGCCGTGGCCTTTGCCTCCTTGGTCTTGCGACGCTCGGCCGATATGGGTATCTTCTCGATGCTCTCCGTGTACTGTCGTCGTTCTGCTTGAGGAAGCTCCCGTAGCGGTGGAAACCGGTCTTCGCCGTCTGCCACTTGCCGTAGCAGTGCACCTTCCCCAGCTTAGCCACCTGATTCGCGAAGAACTCGGGCGATCCCGCGACGAGGTCGTCGTCGACGCGCGTCCCGATCAGGCCGATTAGCTTCCCCCTCTCGTCGTGGAGGATGAGGAGGGCTCTGGCGCAGCTTGGATCTCGAAGCCCCGGGAAGCGACAGGATGGTGTCGCGATGCTCCTCGTGCCACAATAGAGGTGCATCGTTCAACCCGTAGATGCCCTTCTTCGCCTTCAGGACAGTCCCTTCTGGGACGAATGGCCATCCCAGCTCCGGCACCGCAGGCATTCCGCCCTTGGAAACACGGAAGTACACGCGACTGGAGCTGTCGAGATATTTCCCATTCAAAAATGCCGAATCCACGTCGCGCTGCTCGAGACTCCAGCCAGGCTGACTGGCGGCTTCCTGGATGATCACCGCCGTGGCCGTGTCCGTGAGCGTCGGAGCGTTCGTCTGCAGCTCGCCCGCAAGCAACTGCTTGTTCATGTAGCCTGGGACGATGTTCCGTGACTTCGCCTTCAGCGGATGCTGCTCGTACGAGAGGCTTTCTTTCGTAGGTTCATTCTTGTTGGTGCGGACGCGCCTCATGGGCAGGATGTCCGCCTTCTCGACGCCCGCGACCTCCTCTTCATTCGGCCACTCCACAGCGTCGTGCTGAATCCACTTACGCCACCTTTCCAGGTCACTCGCATCGAATGCCGTCTTCCATTCTGATGGGATGCTGCGTAGTTCTCGACCTTTCTTCGGGGTGACCTGCTTCTTCGCGGTGTCGGTCCTCCTGGCCGCGAATGCGTCCCTCGAGCGATTCTTCACCTTGAGGAAGAGCACTTCGTCGTCGATCTCGTCGTCCTCGATCTCCGGGAGGCGCCTCTGCTTAAGAGCTTCGCGACGCACGCGGAGGCGTTCGCGATCAGTTTCGAAGTCGTCAGGTAGTGATCGCTTGCACTGGGATCCTCGTGAACCAGGCTGTGGTGCAGGTTCTGGCTGTCCTCCTTGCTCAGGTTATCGCTGCGGATCGCTTTTCACAGCGGCCGCGTCCAGGTCCGCGGCACGCCCCTGCCCAGCTGCATCAGGTACAGGTGGGTCGTTAGCCGTCACATCTTGCATGTCGTCTCCATCTCCGGGTGTATCTCCATCTCTAACGTCCTGCATGCCGTTTCCATCTCCAGGTAGTGGTGGTACCTCGGGTAGCACTCCAGTTTCAGGCGCGTCCTCCTCCTTGACTTGCTTCTCTCGCTTGGGAGTGGCCTCGTGCCTCCTCGGGGGAGGCGGCTGAGCTTCCTCTGCCCGTGGCGTCTTGGTAGCCGGTGCGTCGCCCACAGCGTCCTCGTTGTCCGAGTCGCCGTCGTCCTTCTTGCGACGCCTGTCTCGCTGGCCACCGCTCCCGTCAGGCCCAGGTCCACGCTCGTCCACGAAGCCCTTCTGGAGGGCAGGTCCTTCACGCCACTGCGACAGTTGCCTGACTAGGTCCTCGTTCTCCACCATCTCGGCTTCACCACGAGAGGCATGTCGCACCTGCTCAGGCGTCGCGAGCGCCGGCGCTCCACGGTAGCTGAGGTGTAGCCTAGTATCGCCCTCGGCCGCCAGCACAATAGCTGGGCCTCGCCACCCGTGCTCGCCCTGTAGCCGCTTCGACTTAACGTGCTTCACCTCACGCCAATAGAACGCCAGCTGGCCCAGCACGAGCGGCCCGCGCGGCGGGCGAACCCGACCAACCGAGGCCCTTCTCACTGCGTCGTTGCTGTCCAGCTCGACCATTGCCCGGTTCGCCGCAGCGCGAATCTGCTCGGCCCTCCTGGGACCGTCCTCGAAAAGGGCTGCGCTCTGCGCCGCCAGCTGCCTCCGATGGCCCTCCATTGCCTCGATCGCCTCGATCAGCGAGGCCGGGACGTTAGGCGATCGTCCCAGTACATACTGATAGGGCGTGAAACCATTCCGTCGGATGTGGTTGTTGCACGTGCTCGCTATCACCGAAGTCCACGCGGATGGATCGTCACTCTTGGTGAGCTGCACATCGCGGTTCAGGCGCTGGAAATGGTTCTTGAAGAAGTCGATGGCCCTTTTCCACTCTGCCTTTGAGCTGAGGCGCGACCGGCCTCATCAGTATATTGTATTTCTCGCCGATCTCCGCGAAACGCTGCGTGGCGTGGCCCTTCGCTGCATCGTAGTATAATGCCTTCGGAGGGCCAGCCCATGATAGCCATCCTTGCGAGAAGCAGCGAAGGCTCTCCTCACCTGTGATGGATCGCACTGCCATAGTAGGTATGATGGCCCTGAAGCTCGACGCGTCATCCAGAATCACCATCACCATCAACCGTGTCTGGTCTGAGAGAATCACCTCGGCTTCGTCCAGAAACACATTCCCGTTGAACTCCGTCGAGAGCTTCAGATTGGCCGATCTCGTCGTGTTGGGCCTCCCGAGCTCCTTGCACACGACACAGTCCAACTTGTCCACCGCGTCGAGGACCTTCTGCGACACCTCGTAGGACTTCAGGCGTCGCTTCTTCGCGTGTGCCGACGGATGGCTCAGGTTCAAGATGAGCTTCCCCAGGGCGCCCCACTGAGCCGTGGTGATATCCGAAAGTTTGTCGCCAAAGCTCTCACCTTCGCGATGTAGGTCTCGATGTACTGCGTTTGCTTCACGATCGTCGTGCTTGAGTGCTTCTGGTCGGCTGCCGAGTAGGGATACCGTCGCGGGGAGGATGTCTGCACTTTCGGCTCCTTCACATAGATCGCGACCACCGTGTCGGTCGGATACCTTGCGGCCAGCTCGACCGTCGTGAAGTTCGGGTCGTCCGCGCAGGCCTCGGAATAATCGGCCAGCACGCCCGTGTCGGTGCACATGGCGTAAATGCGCCGCACAGCTCCGCGAGGCACAGGGATAGCCTCGTTCTGCCTCAGCACGCGTACGTCGATCGGGTCCCTCCTCAGCCTGAACTCCTTGGCTACCGCGCGCATGGTCCTCTGATCTGGAACCTTCGTCACAGCGTCTCCGATACCCGGCTTCTTCAGTCGGGGGAGCGTAAGACCCAGGTTTGCCGGGACTCGGGTTCGCCATCGTTTTTTGACGACCGCGACTCGGATTTTGACGAGGAGGAGTTTTGTGGGATGTCTGCAGCGGGAGGCCTCGTCAAAATGCAGGCTCGGCCTCGTCATTTTTTTGACGACCTCGTCGGGGATTTCCGAGTCCCCCGTACCCGGGTCTCACGTCTCCCCGATTCAGGTCGGTGCGCCGCGCCAGCTCGTGAGCACCAGCACTCACCAGGGTCTTGCCCAGGTCGTCCGGCCAGGCGCTAGCCCGCGAGAGCAACGTGCCTCGCCCGACCGCGTCGGCATGCTCGTGGCGCTGGTCACGCTGGCGATCGAGCCACCACAGAAAACATGAGCCGCTGGGTACCAACATACGTGTGGCCTTCCGAATCGGTGTGCCGTAGTCGTCCGTCAGTCCAAACATGCCCTGGTGTAGCGTAAACATCTCGCACAGTGGAGGTCGCTCACCGTGCCAACATAACAGATCCAGGATCGGCTCCTCGTTCCAAGCACGGCTCGTGAGAGGGTTCTCGCCGATGCCGATGCGTCCACCTTCAGCCTGAGTCCGGAGCACCTTCGCCGAAAAGTCAACCAATGGCTTGAACTCATCGATGAGGTCGCCCACCCGGTCACCTATGCCCTGAGCTCGCTGAAACTCTTGCACGTTCGAGAGGTGCGCATGGGAACGCGACCGAAACCATGCAGGGCTCGAAGGTCTTTATCAGGAGCAGGACATCCGACTGGGTCTGGGGGTCGTTGAAGTTAACCCCGACCGACAAGCCCGTGGGGGTCGCGTTCGTATGAGCACCCTTTGAGGCTACACGAGTGAAGCGAGCCTCCTTCGCAAACAGCCCCCACAGGAAGGTCTCCCGGTTGTCCCGCAGTACGTCGAAGATGACCGAATATTCTTGCATCAGCTTGTCGATCCGTTTGAGCGTGCCTTTCTTGAATATGCCCTTGCTGCCGTTCTTCAGAGCCTCCGCGACCACGAGTCGGCGTGCTCCTTCACCTGGAAGCCCGGCTCGTACTCCTGCAGCGTCTCCGCGACCAGGAACGCGCCCGGCTCGAGCTGCATCTCGTTCACGCGGAACCTCTCGAAGAGGGGCTCCGACTCGTACGAGTCGAGGTCGTAGTCGAAGAGGTCGAGTCCAGCATGCCCACCAGGCAGCTTCACCAGCTCCTTGCCGTGCACCCCGAGCTCCTGGAAGTCCGCCCAGTGGCCGTCCTCGCACATGTAGAGGTTCGTCTTCCACTCGGCGAGGTCCTTCCTGCTCGTCAAGCCGACCATGTCGCCGGGGATCTCGAAGTATTCCTGCAGCGCATGCTTGATTCCGATGCCCACCAGGATGATCCACTTCTGCTTCGACTCGCGTCGTGCTCCACCGAGTCCCTTGAACTTCTGGTGTGCGTCCACCTTGATAGGCCTGAGGCCGTACTTTGCCAGCTCTGTCTCGACGCGATCACGCCATCCGCGTCCTGCAACTGCGATCGAGGCCCCGCTGGCCACCAGGGACGCTGGCACGACGTCGCTGGAGATCATCACCTCGAGCTCGGGCCTGTCTGGCACGATCGGACCGCTGCCCAGGTTCACCATCATGATGTTGTAATCTTTCTCGAGCTACATGTGGATGTAGTTCGTGTCTGGGCCTCGCATCTGGCGTCTAACGTCCACGCGCGACGGTGCTGCGCAAACCAGAGCGCTCATTGCCCAACATCCAAGCCGCCGTGGACGAGGGGTAGACTTCGATCCTTTGCCGCGGCCCTTGCCCTTCGCTGGCTTCCCCGATTGTCCAGTGGCCGGGCTCTCCGATGCATTGTGGTCCATTCGGCCACACCTGCTGCAGCGCTTGTCCTTCGACTTGCCGCCATCCTTGCCCTTTCCATTGCCTTTCCCGAGGTGCTTGCCTGCTGCGTGACCGCCGGCTGCCGCGCTCTCGTCCACCACGCCGTCGATCCTTCTTTTGAAGAATCCCTTTGCCGCCCGCAGCTGGTTCATCTTGAGGCGGCTCTCTCGCGTCGTAACGAGGGTCTGGTGGTAGTCATCGTCTTCTCCAGCCAGGAACGTGTCAGCTTCGTCCTCGAGGTAGAACAAGTGACTGCTATCCCAGTCGCCTTCCTCGTCTTCCTCCGTGCACGTGTAGAGTCCGCGATCATCGTCGCATTCATACCAGTAGCCGTCGTCATCCTGGACCCAGTGCTTACCTCTGTGCGGGTCCTCTCCATCAGCTTGTCCGTTCTCGGTGTCGTTCGCATGCATCGTCCACTTCCAGCCCGTCCTGTTGCCTTGTCCTCGGTGCCTACATCCGCCGCGAGGGAAGAGATTCTTCCGCGTCGTTGAGATCTTCACAAAATTGAACGTCTCGTCCGCCCTCGCCTCGCGAACACCAGCTTACGTCCGTCCTGGTCCACACCGCTACGTCAGAGTTTGTGGTACCCTAGCTCGTTCGAGCTGACCTTCGTGTCTGGGTCCACTTCCTCCAAGTTCCGTCTCGCCACCTCCATGGCCGTACAGAACGCCGCCAGGGGCTCCTCGCCTTTCCTCTCGAAGTGTGCGAGGTCGAAGAACGTGTCGAACGCCTTCGGCAGCTCACGGAAACTACTTTTCACGAAGCGCTCGGTCTCCAGAAGCTTCAGCAGCACATTCGCTCCATCCTCCACGGCGTAGTCTCTCGGGTCCGTCTGCTCGATCAGCACGCTGATCGAGTTGTCTGCACCGAGGAGGTTCCGATGCAACTTTGGACCTAGGGTTGTCCGTTGTTATTTGGACTCGCATCCTAGCTCCGCCGCCTGAACAGCCCTCTTGTACCTGGTGAAATCCTTCAGCGTTTCGCCCTTCAGCACCGGGATCTTGGGATCAACTGAACTGTTGAAGTTATCTCCACTTGCCATGGCACGTGGAGGTGGCTAGTCCCCGCGATCTCGCCCAGGAGTCCGTGAGGTCAACCACGGAGCTCTGCCACCAACCTTGTTCTCACTCTCGCTCCATCCTCGCTCGTGTCCTTCCCGTCGAGGTGGGGCCAGATCCTGAGAACCTCTGTCGTCCGACCGAAACCCACAGTGGCGGCCAATCCCCCGCTGCTTCTGCCCTGGGAGATAGGCGCTCCTTTCGCTTGGGCCCAAACGCCGGCGCTACAGGTAAGCGTGTCAGTACAGTGAAACAGGGGAACACGGGCCTTGACCCCCACAATCCACAGCCCCCAAGAAATTATAATTCTATTTCAAGGGAGGAAAAACACCCGGACCCGACATTTGACGTTTACAGAAAAAGGCCCTAGGCGTTTACCAAGCAGCCCCGCCATGTTCGATTCCTTCCTTGGGCGCGTTTACTCAACGGCATCGCTTGTTGGGGTGATTATTCTGGGGGGTGATATTCTGAAGACGACGCCGGCGACGCCGACGCCGACGCCGACGCCGACGCCGACGCCGTTGACGTTCGCCGACAGAAGACGACGTTTAGGACGACGACGATGCTGGCGACGACGCCAACATCGATGACGCCCTCGCCAACGTCGACGGAAGACGACGAAGTGGTCGACTTCGGCGACGACGACGACGACGAGCACCGGCACCCACCACCACGTCATTCCCACAGGGCCGCGAGGCTCTTGGGCGTACCCATCCAGAGGGGGGCGGGGGCGCTCCCATTAGCAATGGGGGGGGCGGAGCCCTGCATCAGATTTGTAGGTTGCAAGCCTCGCGGTTCAAGCTATGCGGCGCAACCCACATGGTGCACTTTATGGGTTTCAATTCTTTTCGACCGTCTTGAAGTCATCGACACCATTGCTCGTGCAAACATCCCAGCCTCCCACCCGCATCTTGTCGGCAAAGCTCGCCAGACCATGATCTCATCAAGCGCATGGGCGCGAGGAACTAAACCACGCAGCCGAGTGCGGCCTCCTGGTCGCGAAATGGTATTGGCGGCGGTGACGACCGCAACGCCAACGACGATGGCGATGACAGTGGTAATGGCGCTGATGCCAATGGCTATGACAGTGAAAATGGGGACGATACGATGTCGACGACAACGATACTGATGGCGATGGAGTTGGTGGTGATGATCATGACGGCCCAACAATGACACTGGCGATGATAATGACGATGACGATGGTGATGATGGTGATGATGATGATGAGGGGGAGAAGGAGGAGGGACGCGCGCGCATACATTTGACACGGGCAACCTGACATCGTCGAGGGCGGCGGCCGCGATGATCCCTAAGATGATGACAATGACGATGGTACATGACGCTAACGATGACGAGAACGATTGTATCGATTAGGATGATCAGAGTGCCATCAGACGCAAGACTTGCTGTTATTCAGGAAGTCTGAATGTTTATTATATGTTTTTCTCACCCCAACTTGCTGCAATGTCTAGAAGCGCGTGCTTTTGAAAGAATTCATCGTGCGCGCGCGGCGAACGCGCATTGTATTATCATCGTGCTTACGATGCACCGCCGACCCTTGGGGGTGTAGTAAATGTTTGCCAGAAGGATGATTATCGCATGGCCTTGGGCACACCCCGCCGCCGTGCCTGGGTTGCGGGTTTGGCGCCGTTCGGATGGCTGATGGGGTCGCGTGGGAGGTGCGTCGGGAGCGTCAAGGAGGCAGTCTTTGAACCTGTTGGGGGCCTCGTGGCGGCGTCTGGGGGCTTTTGCGTGCCCTTTTGGCGCTCTCTGGGGGCCTCTTGGAAGCTTTTTGGGGACTCTTGGGGGCATCTTGGGGCCGGGAGCTCGAAATGTCCGTGCGGGCTCCCCCTCTAGGCCTCGCCTTTGGGCCGTCCTCGGGGCCTTCTCGGCCGCCTTGGAGGCTTCTGGGGCCGTCTTGGGGCCCTCGTGTGCCGTCTTGGAGGCCTGTTGGAGGCCTCTTGGCCCGTCTTGGGTCGATCTTGAAGGCTGCTTCGACTTCGGTGGGCCTCGTGAGAGCACACGAGGCGAATGTGCGCAAACTATTAGCTTTCCTGAGGGAGTGGGCCGATTTTTGCTCCTTGAAGGCCTCTCGGAACGCCCCGTGGCGACTTGGAACGTCTTGGGGGCCTCTGGGGCCGATCTTGGGCGTCTTGGCGCGTCTTGGGTCCCGCCGGAGGGGTTTGGGGAGGGGGAAGCATCTCACACGCCGATGAACCCCAAGGGGTTGGCGGATTTGACAGTCGGTCGCCGCGCGATGGTGGTTGAACGTTTTTGACATGCGCACACGTGTGGTCCGAATGGAACCATGTGGCAGAATGGCTGAACACGTACTTTGTTCCCGTGCTTTCAACGAGTGCACACGCGCAGAATTCGGGCAGGTGTTGGTTGAATCCATGGTTCTTCATGGTTTTTGACTTGCCTTGTCTCGAAGCTGTTGAAGAGCCGTTGTTTGCTGTCACGGATTTTGTCGTACGCGCGCGGCGACGCGCGCATGTGCCTCGCAATGCGTCTTTTTGCAAGGAAGTCCTCGACCAAACACTACTTCTTAGATCAACGCATATGCACCGCACCAAGTTTGTTCTAGGATGTGGCGGGTGGGGTCGATGCCGGCTGGGCTGACATCCTTTTCTTTGGCAGGTAGTGCGGATAATCGTGCAGAGAAGAGTGGATAAAACGACACTGCGTGGAGGAGAGTCGTCAAGTCCGGCCTCAGGATGGGAGCATATCCTAATTCCCCATTGCAAACTGGAGTTCACCCACCGCGCAACGCCCAGCGACAGAGACGTCAAAGGCGACAACGACCATGACGAGTATGATGTCCATTGCGATAACGCTGGTGATGGTGATTGCGTTGATGGTGGTGACAATGTTGGTGGCAACGATGCAGCTGGCGATGATGATGACGATGGTGACGGTAAGGATGATGAGAAAGCGCGAGCGCAGAAATGTGACGAGGGCGACGACGTCGACGACGGCGACGATAGAGACGTCGGCGGTGATGGTGTCGACGACGACGACGACCACGACGAAGACGATGGCGATGGTGATGATGAGTTTGATGATGATGCCGTTGATGATGGTGATGACGATGATGATGATGATGATGATGATGATGATGATGATGATGATGATGATGATGATGATGATTGCGCTGGTGATGGTTGTAAGGATGGCGGCACTTCGGACGCTGGCGATGGTACTGCCCATTATACTGACAAGGATGATCAGAAAGGGTGTGCCCGCAGGGGTGGTAGATTTTGTCATATGCGATTGAGGAGCCAATGGTGGTTATTCGTATGTGTTCTACGATATTCGAGTTAAATCTAGACATAGAACTTGTGTTTGACGGTTTTCGACGTGCGCCGTTGAGACGCGCGCTTGTGACTCGCGTTGTATCTGTTAATTGGGTTGGCAGGTGCGCGATGATTGTTACAAGCGCTCGCGCGTGGTGGCCCGCATGGCTCGATTCGGCAAAACTGCGAAACACCGATGGTTTAGCGAGTGCGCGCTCGCAGATATCTTGCACACTCTTTCAGCAGTGGTGTGGGTGCTTCTGAATAGCTAGCTACGCAGCGAGGGCATTGTTCGAACGCCAATGGTTGACACATGATGTTGCCATGCGCGCGCGGAGGCGCACGCACCTGCCCCTCATTGTGGTTTGTTGTTGCAATGGAGTTTTAGAAACCGCTTTTTTCAGATCAACGCATGGTCACCGCAAGTGTTTGTTTCCAGGGGATGGCTGGGGGGATCAATACCCGCCTGGCCGTTCTTGGGGACGGAATTCACTTGCCTGCACAGCGCGTCACCACCTCGAGTGATAGCCGTCAACTACAATACTCGAGGAAATATCGCGCTCATACTCGAGGAAATATCCCGCTCACACACCCGAGAAGTGTTGGCGAAACCCAACTGGCTTATGACGCGAAAACTTTTTCTCATGCAAGTCCATCGATCTCATCACTCCGGCCGGCGAGTGGTGGTGGTGATGATGACGGGAGCGTTGATGACGAGGCCGGCGACAACGACGATGACCATCACGATGATGCTGTTAATGACGGCTGCGATGACGACTACGACGCTGATGACGGTGATGAAGAGGATGGCGATGATGACGACGCTGGCGATGATGGTACAGGTGGTGCTGATGCGAACGATGAGCAAATGCGCGCGCGCAGGATGTCAGCGATCCTGGCAACTCGTGAATTGGAACACCAGTGTGCTCAGATGCGTACGCAGAGCGGTGAGATGCTCGAGGACTGGTGGCTTGGGGCGGATTGTGTCGTGCGCGCAGTGGGTCGCGCGTGGGACTCGCTTGCCATGAGCTGCCGGGGTTCCCGTGCGTGTGGTGATTGCCGCATGTTTCCGACACGCGTGCGCACATGCGGCCCGCACGGTCGCAGGTGGCGACGTGGGCAGGCAGCGCCCGATGGTGTTGGCACGATTCGACCGGGTGCCCGCGCAAAGAAATACACACTGTTCATTTCTAATTCTCCGGAAGCTCTTTGTTTTTTGGGGGGCCAGGATCCTTTCATTTCTAATTGTTCTATCCTGGGCCTCTTCCTGGCCACTAGGGGGCCAGGAAGAATTCGAAACGAGCACAACCAGACATGAGCACAATTAGAAATGAACGACGTTTACCCATCGGTCGTTGAAAGTATGTATTTTTTGGGTCCCAGAAATTACAGTCTACTTTCAGCGCTTGCCTACTTGATCGAGTGGCTTCACCTGTCCCGTCCTCGTTAGGGGGCGTGCGCACACCCAATCTGCTTCAGCGCCTTCCTGCTTCATGTTTCTACTTACTTCTTCCGACCGATGGGTATTGTAGTTTTGGTGGCCACTCGCACGCGCGTGTTTGTTACATATTCTGTTTGAATTGTGCCAGCACTGGTTCTAGCCGGGATTTTGACGTGTGCGCGCCCGTGGTTGGCATGGTCTCATCTCATCACCGTTCTGGCAAAGTGAACATCTCACACCAGCGTGTGCGCACCGCATGGTTGTATGTGACAGGGATGGTGTGGGAATCTAAACAAGTCAGCTGACATGGTTTCTTTTGATATCTACTGACCTTCGGCCCATCCCGCCACCGTGCCTGGGTTTTGGGTCAGCGGCCTCGGGGACGCTTCAGGGGGGTTCTGTGGAGGACTCTCGGGCATGCCTCTGTGGGGCAGTTTTAAGGCCTCTTGGGAGCCTCGTGCGAGATTATTGGGAGCCTCTTGGGCCTTCCTGGGAGCCTCTCTGGGGGCTTCTTGGGGCCTGTCGGTGGATTCTTCGGGGCCTCTGGGGCCTCCCGGGGGCTTCTTGGGGCGGTGAGCTCGAAATTTTGGTATGGGTTCGGTTCCCTCGCTGGGGTCCCTCTTGAGGTGTTCTTGGGGCCCTCTTGGGCCGTTTGGAGGCCTCTTCTGCTGTCTCGGCACCCTCTTGGCGGCCTTTCAGGCCGACTTGTGGCGATCTGTTGGGCCTACTGGACCATCTAGGAGCGTCAGGAAGCCGAAAAGGCAGACAAGCGTAAATCTTTGAACAATCGAAGGACATTCGATGCCTCTTAGCGCCCTCTTGGGAGCGTTCTTGGGAGCGTTCTTGGGAGCCTCTGGGGGGCCGTCTGGAGGCCATCTTGGGCGCGTCCTGGGGCGATCGTTCGGCGAGTCTGGGCCCCGTTGAATTGTCTGTGCGGCCTGCTTGGGCTCTCTCTGCCCGCTTCGGGGGCCCACCTGGCCGAGAGGGGGCTGTCCCAGGGGCCCCCGCAGGCCACCCCAGCAGCGCCCAGCAGCGCCCGGGAATTCCAGGAGTTTCGCGGTCCGGGCCCTTCGTCGGGGGACAAACGATGACATAAACATAATGAAATTCAGAGGTCCGAGCGGATTTCTCAGATCGGCGCTGGAGCCCAATCGCGGCGCCTCCAGCTCCGCCCCTGGCGCGTGGCCACGGCTGCATTCACTTCGAAATGTTGGCCAGAACGCGCCTCGTCCCGATCCATCGGATCTGGTCGGTCGTTTTGCTTTCCTCTTTTTTTAGGTCCTGGTCTTCTTGGGCGCTTTCGTGGCCACGGCTGGATCCGCCTCGAAGTTCTGGCCCGAACACACCCCAGGGCAGGCGGGGGGTCGACTTTGAGGAGGCAGGGCGCAGACATCTGGTTTCATGAGCACCACGTGTCCGCTCCATCTGACTTTCATTCGGACTTACAGCTCGCCAGATCAACACAACCCATGCAGCGTCGCGCAACACCGCACAGCATCGTGAAGCACTGCGCAGTACAGCGCGCCACCACCCAGCCCCCCCCGCAAACACCACGCAGCACCTCGCCCTCCACTGAGCGGCATTGTGCGGCGTTGCGCTGTGCAGGTTTCGAAGTCGTCTCTGGGAGGCTCCAACGAAGTAGACGCAGACGTCTCGCGTTGTGAACGGATCGGGGCGGCCGTTGCTTCCCCTCGGCGCGGGGCCGCCTCGGCGCCTCGGCGCGGGGCCGCCTCACACCGTCGGCTCTGGCTCGACCGGCCCCCACTTAGAGCTCGGTCGCGTCAGATGCTGACAGGTCCCACCTGGCGCCCGGTCTCGTCGACTCCTGATCGCTTTTTTGTTCGGCCTCGGCTCGATCGGTCGTGGCTCGGCCGGTTCGGTCGTGAGAGGCGTTGCCAGGTCCTCACGCAGTTGGTGATGGGTTCCATCGGTGCCCCATCGCTATTCGCTTCGGTCGGTTCGGTTGCGAGAAGTGTTGTCGGTTAATCAAGCAGCTGGTGCCTGATCTCATGGGCCCCCAATCGCTTTTCGAGTCGGTCTCGGCTCGATCGGTCGTGTTCCGGTAGGCTCGATCGCGAGATGCGTTTCCAGGTCCTCACGCGTTTGATGGCCGGCTCCATCGGTTCCGAATCGCTTGTCGAACCGGTCTCGGTTCCATCGGGCGTGTTTCGGTCGGCTCGATCGTCAGATGCGGTGCCAGGTCCTCAAGCAGCTGGTGCCAGGCGAGGTGATCGCCGCCACCGACCAGGAGCCCGCGGAGGACGACGGCGCCTTGCGGATGAAGGCCAGGACGCTGAAGGATCATGCTTTGCCAAAGTGGTCCAAGGTGCCCCCAGCTTTTCGTGCCGTTTTGGAGCCCCTGGGTCAGAGGAGGAGAAGATACCGATACCGCTACTTATTCTGGGGAGCCCTCGTCGCCACGGCTGGGTTCTCCTCGAGATTCTAATCAGGACGCGCCCGGGGAGAGGTCGGGGGAGTTACAGTATTGGTGCCCTTTCGTCCCCCTCCCATGAAGCCCTTGGGGCCCTGTCAGGAGGGCTCCATCGGAGCATCTTGTGCAGGGGACCCTTATGGCAGCGCCCGGGAGGATGAGCTCGAAGGCTGGGTCACCATGAAGAGCCAGACGGGACAGCCGTACGTGACCGCGAGCAGCAAGTACTACACCGTCCTGGAGGAGGTCCCCGTTCAGAAGAGCCTCGATGCCGCGAGCGCCGCGACCGCCCGCGCGCTCGTCAAGGGGGAGGTGTTCCAGGTCCTGGAGGGCCCCAAGGAGGAGTCGTCCGTGCTCTCCCGGAGGGCCAGGGTCAAGGCGGTCGCGGATGGCGCGGTTGGCTGGATCACGCTCGGCGCGCAAACGCCCGAGTGGGTGCCTTATTACACGTGCAAGCGGCCCACGCCGATGCACACCACCGCCTCACCGGAGGGGGCGGCGGAGGTCCGGCAGCTCGCCGTCGGCGAGGAGATCGAGCTCCTCGACGGGCCCAAGGCCGAGGGAGACGTGCTGCGGCTCCGAGGGAGGGCGAAGTCCGATGGCGCCACTGGCTGGGTGACCATCAGGAGCGACGGCGCCGGGGTCGACCTCGAGCCCAGCAGGCCCACGAAGAGAGGCAGGTGAGCGGCCGCGCTGCTGCGCCAGGGAGTGGACACTGGATTCAGGAAAGCGGAGGCGTGAAAAACAGCAGCGAGGGCTCTCGGGGTACAGTCAACCATGATAGTAAGGATGCGAAAACGCAAAGGCTCAACATTCGCCAACCGCTGCAAGCGCGGTGGTGGATTTGGTGGCTATGCGCCCGTGAGCCGCGCTCTCGCCAACACCTGATTCGCCGAATATGGCCTCAATATAGCCCAAGGCCCAATAGGGAAGGGTAGAGGAAGTGTCAGAAGGGAGAGGGGAGACCCCGGAAGGGTAGAGGAAGGGCCCAAGGTGGGCCCCAGTGCCCCCACGAGAGCCCCCCAAGCGCCCCACCCACGATTGCCCCAGGAAAGCTCTAAATCGCAAGACGGCGAACAGGACAACCTGCACCCCACGCTGGTCGCAAGAAGGCCCCAGGAGGGCCCCCCCGGCTCCAAGAAGCCTCGACAGAGCCACAGAAGAGCCCCAAAAGGGCTCAACCGGAGCTAGAACAGGCCCGTCAGGGCACCCCAGAAGAGTTTCAGAAGGGTCCCACGACTCGAAACATAACAAACTGCATAAACATAAACTTTTGGCGCTCCGCGTGGATGTCTTAGATCCGCGCTGGGCCCCCCGCGGCGGCGCCTCCGGCGCCGCCCCTGGTGCGCTCCGCGCGCCAGGGAGGGGAGTCCAGCGCAGATCCGAGAAATTCGCGTACAGCGCCAAAAGTTGTTCTTTATGCCGTTTCTTCTTCTTCGTCTTCTTCTTCTTCTTCTTCTAAAGACGTCCCCCCCGACCTCCACATCTGAGGCTCCGCTTAGCCGGCAGTTTCATCCGTGCCTCGCCCTTCTCGCCGTGGTCTGCAAGTGGTTGCCACCGCGCACGACTGCCAGCCACACCCAGCCCACAGGCAAGAGGGAACGTGCTGCGACGGGGACTTCCCCTAGCAAGGCGGGCGGGCCACTCCAGTCGACGGGCGGCCCTGAAGCTGGCGCGTGTGGACTCCAAGATGGCCCAATGCGCTGCCAAGACGACCCCAGACGGCCAGACCAGGCCAGACAAGACAGGACGAGAAAAGACAGGACAAGAGGATACAATACCTTCGAAGATACGCCCAGATGAGATAGCCTCCATGTCGGCTCAAGATGGCCCCAGGACAGGCGCCCGAAAAGCCCAGGTCCTTTCAAGCATCAGGGCAAGTCAAAGACTGTCGTTATTCGACATCATTTTATTCCCAAAGAGCTCTGGAATCCTCAATATGGTCCCAAGAGGGCCCCAAGACGGGCCCAGAGAGGCCCAAAGAGGGCCCCAGGAGTGCTCCAAGGCCGCCCAAAGATCGAGCATGCCAACGGTGTCCAACGTCCTCGGCCCCAAAACTGCCCCGAGCGGCCCCCAGGCTCACGAGGCACACCACCCCAGGACGGCCCAGGAACGCCAAGGGCCGTCCAGGACATCCGTCTAATCGTGGGCACAGACCCTTGAGAACCTATAGCGATTTCACCCCTCACGACTGTAAGAGCCCTGAGGCGCTCCACTGCGCGCCCGCTTCCAGTGCCCACGATGGTGCCCGCATGCGTCAAAGCAGTTCAGGCTCCATGCGTCAGTTCGATGCTGTTTCAGATGTAGCCATCTGACGGTCATTCAGTGTGGCAAAGCGAGCATTGCTTGCAGCTCCATTCCACGACAGGATGCGCTTGCGGTATATATATATATATATATAGGTTGAGATCTAGTGTGACTGGGCCGACACGGCAGTTGGGACCCCAGCGTTGTTGGGGTGCGACCGAATAGGGTTTGTCTCTCGGGTGCCCGACGGCCAGAATTGTTTCTCAATCGTCACTTGCCCTGATGTGCCACTGCTGCATGTATCTGGTCAATTCCCCGATTGCTCGGCGGAGCCCAGGGTGCTCATGGTTATGGTTGGTTCTCTGCCCCCTCAGAGCCCATATCGGAAAGAGCGTGTTCTACCGCTGCTGGCGGAAAACCGGGGGGGGGGGTCACTACCGGTTCGAACCCCTCTCCCCCCCCCCCTCTGGAAAACCGGGGGGGGGGTCACTACCGGTTCGAACCCCCACCCCCCCCCCCCCAGTTCATCATGAAAAGGGGGGGGGTCACTACCGGTTCGAACCCCCCCCCCCCTCCCCCTCGAACTCGAAAACCGGGGGGGTCACTACCGGTTCGAACCCCCCCCCCTCGAAAACCGAGGGGTGGTGCGGACAGTGGTGGGGACGGTGGTGGTGGGGACAGTGGTGAGGGGACAGCGGGACAGTGGTGGAGACAGTGGGACAGTGGTGGGGACGGTAGTGGTGGGGACAATGGTGAGGACAATGGTGGGAGCAGTGGGGACAGTGGGACAGTGGTGGGTACGGTGGTGGTGGGGACAGTGGTGTGGGGACAGTGGGAATGTGGTGGAAGCAGCAGGACAGTGAAGGGTACAGTGGTGGTGGGGACAGTGGTGAAGGCGGTGGCGAGGACGGCGGTGGGACAATGGGACAGAGGTACAGTGGGGACAGTGGTGGGGACAGTGGGGACTGGTGGGAACAGTGGGACAGCTCAGTGGGACAGCGGAGGAGTCAGTGGGACAGTGGGGACAGTGGGGATAGTCGTGGAGAAAGTTGGGGGAGTGGAGCCGTGATGGGAACAGTGGTGGGGACAGTGGGGACAGTGCGACAGTGGTGGTGGCACTCGTGGGGACAGTAGGGGCGGTGGTGGAATCAGTGGGAACAGTGGTGGTGAGGACAGTGGTGCTGGGAACAACAGTGGGGGATGTGGTGAGGACGGTGGTAGGGACCGGGAGTCGTTTGCTGGAGGCGAGAGGGGGGGTGGGGAGGGGTTCGAACCCGTGCCCCCCCCCTCGGTTTTCGGGGGGGGGGGGGGGGGTTCGAACCGGTAGTGACCCCCCCCGGTTTTCGAGTTCGAGGGGGGGGGGGGGTAGGGGAGGGGGGGGGTTTTGCCGGGGGAAGGGGGGGGGGTCCAGCAGGGGGGGCGGAGGATTTTCGGGAGCGGGTTCTGGAGGAAAAGGGCGGCAATTTTCCACAGTAAAGCGGCGGTGGATCACGCTCTCTCCCATATCCGTATCCTCTGAATCGTCTATTGGTTTTCTGGCCTGTGGATGTCAATGCCCAGAGAGTGAGTTGCATGCGTTCGGGGGCCCTTGGTCTCCAAACAGCCAGTGCCTCGTGCAAGCAGGTTATGGGTGCGACGCCGAGTGGGACTTAGAGTGGCACTGCCAGAACGCTGCTTTTCGGCTGGACATCCTTCCGCTTGCCTGCTTTGGTGCTGTGGTTCTTCATATACGGCGAAGTTCACCGGCGAAGTTCACCAGACTTCAGGAAATAACAGGAGGACCCAGATGGAGAAGAGCGGGTACGTAGGATAACGACGCGGAGGAGGCGGAACGGGCAGAAGACGATGAGGCCGAGAAGGGTGAGGATCAGAAGGACAACGAGAGTTGTGAGCAAGGAGATGATGATGATGGTGATGATGATGGTGATGGTGATGGTGATGGTGATGGTGATGAAGATGATGATGATGATGATGATGATGATGATGATGATGATGATGATGATGATGATGATGATGATGATGATGAGGAGGAGGAGGAGGAGGAGGAGGAGGAGGAGGAGGAGGAGAGGAGGAGGAGGAGGGAGGAGGAGGAGGAGGAGGACGGTGTCGAGGACGATGGCAATGTCGAGGAAGTGAGGAGGAGGAGGTGGAGGAGGAGAGGATCGGAACGAGGTAGAGAACGAGGAGGATGGTGGCCAAGCGCGCCTGAGAGGCAGACGCAGAAGAAGCACAGAGGAGACTCGATTTGCCGCATGGCGCGTGTCTTCGCGGGCGGCCAGGGCCCTCCGCACTGGATCACACGCTCGGGTCTCCGGCGAGGCCCTGGAGAACGACTGCGCGCACGGAGCGAGGCCCAGCGCTCGATGTCGATTCTGTGTCGCACCAACGGGACCTCGTGCCGGGGATTGTTCGTGCAGGGTTACCTTCTCGTCTCTTGTCCGAGACCGCAAAGTTGGGCGCCGCCACGTCCCAACCAACGCCGACGAAGAGGTCACCATCACAGGTGATTTCGAGCCGAAGCCCATCCACCAAGAACCCCGAGGCCCAAGCCTGGTCTTCGATGGGGAGGGATCGGCAAAGGAGGAGGGAGGAGGAGGAGGAGGAGGACGAGGAGGAGGAACGTTAAGTCGGAACGGTAAGGAGGGGAACAAGTATGAGGAGGAGGAGGAGAAGGAGGGGGTCGAGGAGGAATAGGAGGAGCAGGAGGAGGAGGAGGAGGCGAGGAGGAGGAATGGAGGAGGAGGAGGAGGAGGAGGAGGAGGAGGAGGAGGAGGAGGAGAAGGAGAGCATGGGAGGAGGAGGAGGAGGAGGAGGAGGAGGAGGGGAGGAGGGGAGGAGGAGGAGGGTCAGGGCTGAGCTGAGCGGAGAGGAGGAGGAGGAGGAGGAGGAGGAGGAGGAGGAGAGGAGGAGGAGGAGGAGGAGGAGGAGGAGGAGGAGGAGGAGGAGGGAGGAGGAGGAGGAGGGAGGAGGAGTGGGAGGAGGCGGAGGAGGAGAAGGAGGAGGAGGAGGAGGAGGAGGAGGAGGAGGGGGTAGATGGCGGGCAGGAGGAGGGTCAGGGCTGAGCTGAGGGGAGGAGGGGGCCGCCCGCGCGCAGCACCCCGCTGCGGCCGTGCTCGCGGGCGAAGAACCTGGAGATGCAGGCGCGGCGGGGCTGCCAAGCCCTGGGAAGGGGGGCGGGCCCTCACTCTTAGGGCTAAGGCGGGCCTGTCCCTCTACAGGGGGAGTGTTCAAACATAGTCAACAAATTCCCTGGGGACGATGTTTTGAGCATGTTTTTGCTTGTATGTTTGAATATTTGGGGGTATTTTAATTTTTTCGTCAAAATTCCCCCTGTAGGGGGACATGCCCGACCTAATCTTAGGGGAACAAACAGGGATACAAACACAACAACTCGTCCTCCTCCTCCTCCTCCTCCGCCTCCTCCTCCGCCTCCAGGTTTCAGCTTCTATTATCCCGCATGCGCGCCGGCCTGACCCCCCTCCGTGGCGCGCGGAGCGCGCCAGGGGCGGCGAGGAAGGCGGCGGATGCTCTGTGCGTTCTGGCTGGTGGAGGGTCTCGTGCCGACCCTGGCGCTTTCAACATAACAACTCGGAGGTCCGCGTGGATCTCTCGGATCGGCACTGGGGCTCCCTGCCGGCGCTCCGCGCGCCAGGGCGAGGGGTCCATTGTCGATCCAAAAAATTCGCGAGGACCTTCCAGTTCTTTCTTACCGTCCTGTGGTGTCGTGTTCTCGTTTTGAAGAGACAGCGCCCCGCGTTCCTCACTCCTTCTTCCTCCCCCTCCTCCCCCCTCCTCCCATCCCTGCCTCTGCCTTCCGCACGTCCGCATCGTCATCATAGTCATCATCGTCATCGTCATCATCAGCACCATCACCACCCTATTCCTGCCTCATGCATCCCATGTCGATTTCGGCACACTCATCACACGTTTCGTGGCCCCACAGTGAGCTCCACCGAAGGCCCCAGTGGCAGGGTCCGCATGGCGCCACACCCATCTCTGCACACCCCTCACACGTTTCGTGGCCCCATGGGGAGTTCCACCGAAGGCCCCAGTGGCAGGGTCCGCATGGCGCCACCGCGCCCATTTTGGCACACACCTCATACGTTTCGTCGCGGCCGAGTGGGGAGGTCTACGTCCCCAGTGGCAGGGTCCGCATGGCGCCACCCCACCCATTTCGGCACACCCTTCAAACGTTTCGTGGCCCGCAAGGTCCGCATGGTGCCACCGCACCCATTCCGGGGCGCCCCTCGCACGATCCGTTGCCCCATTGGGAGCTCCCTCGAGGGCCTCATCGGCAGGGTCCGCATAGCACCACCGAGCCCATTTCTGCACATTCCTCACACGTTTCGTGGCCCCATTGGGAGCTCCCTCGAGGGCCCCAGCGGCAGGGTCCGCATAGCACCACCGAGCCCATTTCGGCACATTCCTCACACGTTTCGTGGCCCCATTGGGAGCTCCCTCGAGGGCCCCAGCGGCAGGGGCCGCATAGCACCACCGCACCCATTTCAGCACATTCCTCACACGTTTCGTGGCCCCATTGGGAGCTCCCTCGAGGGCCCCAGCGGCAAGGTCCGCATGGCGCCACCGCACCCAGGCTGGCATACCCCACACGTACTGTACCCGCATGGCGTACCCGCTCCCGATTCGGCACAGCCCCTCACACTTTTCGTGGCCCCATCGGGGGCTGCCCCCCTTTCGTTTCTCATGCCTTGCGCCTGGGTCCTTCGCCAGGATAATATGTTTATGGCAGTGTTTTGCCAGCGGAGGCTCAACACAGGGCACAAAATAAACATTCAGCGCCTGAGTTCAGCAACGACTAGTTCGTGCGCAGGTAGGGGAAGGGAGAGGAGCCAGAATCGTTCTCACAGCAGGCGTCTGCGTCACAGGTCCGTCCCTGAAGGGCCAGAGTGGTCGTCCTCCCCTCCTCAAGGAGGCAGGTAAGGCGGGTCCCGCCCAGCTTGCTCATGTTTCCATTGCTTGTGCGGGATGTCGATGGGCGACCTTCATTGCGTCGTCCGCCCCTCACCGTGCTCCTACCGTCCTCCATTATTCCTCTCCATCCCTCCTCGTTCCCTTTCCTCCCCCACTTCATCCTCCTGCGTTCTCTCCTCGCTCTTCACCCTTCTGCCCGCGGCTCTCCCATAACGCCTGCCTCATCTCAACACGTTCTGTCGGCCCCTTCCTCTCCGCCCTCCTTTCCTACTTCTGCCTCTTAGCTCTCGCATGTCGTCGTCGTTAGTATGGTCTTCTTTTCTTCCTCTATCAGTCTTGCTTCTCTAGCTCCGCGTCTTCACCCATCATCATCCTCCCTTTTTCTCCCTGGATCATCCTCACCTCCTCTTCCTCCTCGACCCCCTCTCATTGTCCTGCTCCTGCCACTGCTTATGCTGCTGCTCCTGTTCAGATTGTTCCCATCCATCCTGTGGTGTTGGGTAATCGTTTTGAAGGGACGGTCCCCGCATTCTTCCTCCCTCATCCTGTCTCCTCCTTCTCCCCCACCTCCCCGTCCTCTCCCTACTCCCTCCTCCCTGAGTTCCCTCCATCCAGTACAGGTTTTCGTGACCACATAGGGAGCCCCACCCAAGGCTCCAGTGGCTGCGCTCGCATGACACCACCGCATGCATTTCGGCACACCCCTCACACGTTTCGTGGCCCCATAGGGAGATTCACCCAAGGCCCCAGTGGCTGCGCTCACATGACACCACCGCACCCTTTTCGGCGCACCTCTCACACGCTTCGTGGCCCCATAGTGTTCCACCGCAGGCCCCAGTGGCTGCGCTCGCATGACACCACCGCACCCATTCCGGCACACCCCTCACACGTCTCGTGGCCCCATAGGGAGCTTCACCCAAGGCCCCAGTGGCTGCGCTCGTATGACACCACCGAAACCGTTTCGGCACAGCCTGCACACTTTTCGTGGCCACATAGGGACCAAGGCCCCAGTGGCTGCGCTCGTATGACACCAACGCACCCATTTCGGCACACCTCTCCCACGTTTCGCGGCCTCACAAGGAGCTCCACCGAAGGCCCCAGTGGCTGCGCTCGCATGACACCCCCGCACCCAAGTCGGCACGCCCCTCACACGTTTTGTGGCCCCACAAGGAGCTCCACCGAAGGCCCCAGTGGCTGCGCTCGCATGACACCACCGCACCCTAGTCTGCACGCCCCTCACACGTTTTGTGGCCCCATAAGGAGCTCCACCGAAGGCCCCAGTGGCTACGCTTGCATGACACCACCGCATCCATTTTGGCACACCCCTCACACGCTTCGTGGCCCCATAGAAAGCTCCACCGAAGGCCCCAGTGGCTGCGCTCGCATGGCGCCACTGCGCCCATGTTGGCACACCCCTCACACGTTTCGTGCCCCGTTCGGATTTCCACCGAAAACGATACCAACAACTGCGTTACTCACAATTGCATGTGGTTGGGTCCTTCGCCAGGATAATTGTTCTTGCTGCTCCCTTGCCCTCAGTGCGAACTGCGGAACAAAATAACCACCTGCACCTACGTTATCCTTGAGATCTCTCCGCGCGTGTTGCCTCCCGCTCCTCACCAGCAATTCGTAACAATTTGGAGTTACATTGCACTTGCTAGCAGTGGTGGTTTGGTGGCAGTTCGCTTCATTGCAGTGGTGGTTTGCGACTGACCGCTGCATTCTCACATGACGTGTGGAGCGACAGAGGATGAGGAGGAGGGGGTGGAGGAGTAGACTAGATGAGTGGCCAGCGCGTGTGGATGGGGATGAGGTGTCCGTCACGCACAAAGGCGCAATTCAACCGCTGTAGGAGACTGGCCTGCCGTGCCTGAGCGTTGTGATCCCCAGGCACGGTCTCGTTGAGGCGAAACGCATACATCACCGGCACAGTGCCCGTCTCGATCCGATCGACCCAGTTCTAAATCGATTCCGGCCGTCCCGGTCTGATTTGACTCCGATGTTCCGACGATCCGTTGCGGCCCGATGCTCGCATGGCGGTGTTGTTCAGCCCGTTCTGCTCTCCGATGGTCCGGGCGCGCATCTGCGGCCACTCGATGCAGGGCCCCACGAGCACGCCTCGAACTTCGGTGGAAAGCAAGCGTGGCCCTTCCCCAGAGTTGCATGTGGTGTGCAGTTTTCGGAGGGCGCGGAGGAGGGGGGGCCAGACGCACCCAAGGCATTCAGCAGGCCGTTGCAAGCAAGCCGCGATCGGAGTCCTGGCCACCATTTTGCTGGCGCGGGCTTTGAGCTGCGGCGATTCGTGAGGGCCCACGGGCCTGCAACGCCCAGGTCTCAGGGGTCAAGCAGTTGCGAAGCTTCTGATTCGCCTATAGGCCTACCAAACCATGTGCTAAGAACCTTTCGTGGTTTCCTCGAAATGTTCTTAGAACATTTCTGGCTGGGACTGTCCTGTTTTCACACATCGGGTTTATGTTCCAAGAACATTGGTTTTGTTATTAGAACATTTGTGGGTTCTAAGAACATGTTGTGGCAGGCGTATGGGAATGCCGGGAAGGTCGGTCCCTGCTCAAAGGGGAGTCCGTGGGCTTTTGACGCGCTCGTTCGCCGCTTCTGGGCCTCCACGGCCCCGGGGCGCGCGCGCGCGGGCGCGCCGGGGCCGGCCAGAGCGGAGGAGCCGCCGGCCGCGCGCGGGGCTTTCCACCACCACCACCATCATAAGTTGGACGGGGGGAGGGGGAGGAGGAGAGGGACGAGGAGGAGGAGGACGAAAAGGAGGAGGAGGAGGAGGACGACGACGACGAGGAGGAGGAGGATCACCTCCCCCTCCAACTTCTGGTGGTGGTGGAAAACAGGTCCATCAGACCCTGTCTCCGGGGCCAGGTTCTCCTCCCGAGCAGTTTTTTTGATTCCGAAGCATCTTGTGGTGCTGGGTCCTCGCTTTGAAGGGGCAGCGCCCCGCGTCATTCCTTCCCTCCTTCCTTCTCCCCCTCCCTCCTCCCTCCTCCCATCCCTGCCTCCTGCCCTCCGCGCCAGCCAACCATTTCGGCGCACTCCTCACGCGCTTCGTGGCCCCATAGGGAGCTCCACCGAGGGCCCTAGTAGCTGCACTCGCATGGCACCACCGCGCCCATTTCGGCTCAAATCTCACACGTTTCGTGGCCCCATAGGGGTTCCACCGAAGGCCCCAGTGGCTGCGCTCGCATGGCACCCCCGCGCCCATGTTGGCACACCCCTCACGCGTTTCGTGGCCCCACAGGGAGCTCTACCGAGGACCCCCGTGTCTGCGCTCGTATGGCACCACCGCGCCCATGCTGACACGCCCCTCACACGTTTTGTGGCCCCATGGGGGGCTCCACCGAAGGCTCCAGTGGTTGCGCTCGCATGGCACCACCGCGTCTATTTCGACACACCCCGCACACGCTTCGTAGCCCCATTAGGAGCTCCACCGAGGGGCCCAGCGGCTGCGTTCGCATGGCACCACCGCGCCCATTTTGGCACACCTTGACACGTTTCGTGGCCCTATAAGGAGGCTGCGCCGAGGGCCCCAGTTGCTTCGCTCGCACGGCGCTGCCACACCCATGTCGGCACATGTTTCCCACGTTCCGTAGCCCCATAAGGAGGCTGCAACGAGGGCCCCAGTTGCTGCGCTCGCATGGCACCTCCACGCGCATGTCGGCAAACCCCTCACATGTTGAGTGGCCCCATAAGGGGCTCCACCGAGGGGCCCAGCGGCTGCGTTCGCATGGCACCACCGCGCCCATTTCCGCACGCTCCTCAAACGCTCCGTGGCCCCATAAAGATCTCCACCGAAGGCCCCCAGTGGCTGCGCTCGCATGGCGCCACCGCGCCCATGTCGGCACAACCCTCACACGTTTCGTGGCCCCATGTGAAGCTCCACCAAAGGCCCCAGTGGCTGCGCGCACATGCCACTACCGCGCCCATGTCGGCACACCCCTCCAACGTTTCGCAGGTAGTTCCACCGAGGTCCCCAGTGGCCGAGATCGCATGGCACCACCGCGCCCATGTCGGCACACCCTTTTAACGTTTCGCAGGGAGCTCCACCGAGGGCACCAGTGGTCGAGCTCGCATGGCACCACCGCGCCCATAGTGGCACGCCCCTCACGTTTCGTGGCACCCTAGGGAGCTCTACCGAGGACCCCAGCGTCTGCGCTCGCATGGCACCATCGCGCCCATGGCGGCACGCTCCTCACACGCTTCGTGGCCCCATGAGGAGCTCCACCGAGGGCCCCAATGGCCGTGTTCGTATGGCACCACCGCGCCCATTTCGGAACACCCCTCGCACGTGTCGTGGCCCTATACGGGGCTCCACCGAGGGCCCCAGTGGCTGCGTTCGCATGGCGCCACCGGACCCATGTCGGCATACCCCTCGGGGGTTCCACCGAAGGCTTCAGTGGCTGCGCGCGCATGCTTGATTCACAACTGCATATGGTTGGGTTGTTCGCTTTTTTATTGGTGTTAAAAATGCTCCGAGTGATCCCCACCGAAACCTTCGGCGTTTGATCCCGACGGTGGTCGCGCCCATTGGAACGATGTGCGCGTGGCCCGGTGGTGTCGGCCAGCGCGGCGGTCTGACAAGTTCGCAAGTTGCCGTTTTTTTTGGAATCTAATTGCCCCAGAACCCCTGACGAAAGACACCGAAAGAAGCCCTGGGGCGAAGAATCAACTTCCAAAACGCGTTGCGAAAACACGTCCTGGAATAATCAGTAGGAGGAAGAGCAGTAGCAGTAGCAAGCAATAGTAGAAGTAGAGGCAGTCTGGCGTGACGTCGTGAAGCCTGTCGCGTGTGATACGTCTTCGAAGCGGTAGTTGCTCCCCCTGTTTGATCTAAAATGCTTGCCTGACCTCGGCGCGCACGTCGCAATATCACAGTACGGTGTATTATGTCATTACGTTCCTCTTCAATTCTGGTGTCTGTTGTTCTAAAGTCTGCTCTTCTGCTTTGTGGCACCGTGTTATAACATGATATTTCCTGTCCGTTTACATGACGTTATGCACTGACTTGTGATGTTGTTTACGTCATGCTGGTATCACTACAGTATATGATGTCTAGCTTTGTATGGCATACCTCTCCCATGCAGGTCTAGTAGATCGTGTTATGTTAAGCTATTTGCCCTCAGGGTACCAGCAGTGAAAGATTTATGCTATGGTATGCTGGTTACGTTGTGCTCAGTCATCCGTTCATTGCATTGTGCTATGTTCGGGTATCCTCCGCAAACTGTTGAAGCAACGATGTTTGAGTGCATTCGTTGCCATTGTGGTACCAATATTGAAACATCTCCTGGTACGCTCTACTATATCTGTGGTGATATACTCAGAATTGGCTCCGTTATGTCAGGGTATGCATTGTTATTGTATGTTGTGTTCGATGCTGCGTTCTGTCATGCTCTGTTCTGTCAGGACACAGTATATGACCAACCTTTGGGATTTGTTATGTTATAGTATGTTATGCCGGGATCCGTCATGCTATGGTTTGCAATGTCATGGAATGTTGTGACTATGTGTTATATTCAGGTATGTCATGCTATGTTGTGAGATGGTATGCTCTGTTCTCTTACGCTATGGTCTGGTGTGCTCTGTCTTTTTGCATTATGATCTGTGGTGTTATGTTATGCCCTGTGTGCTCAATAATGTGATTGCCTGCGTTGGTATGGTGTGTCCTGTCATGTTCTTTTCCTGGCATGCCATGGCAAGCTATGCGCTGTTACGTTCTGGTGTTATGATATATCAGGGTATGCAATGCTAGAAGGTAATATGCCGCGCTCTGTCATGGTATGCTTTTGTGTATCGCAATGTGAATTGGTGCTGTGCAACGGTGTGATCTGTTCTGCCATTGTATGTTATGGTATGATATGCTATGCTATGTCATGGCATGGTATGGTCTGCACTATTATGTTCTGTGTTGGGATGCAGTTGCATGCTCTGTTCTTTATTATCCATCATGTCATAGCTTATGATGTTATGCTATGTGATGGCCTGCTACGAAATAAAACAGGTTTCCGCTCTCTGTCATGTCACGATTCGTAATCCATGCTGCGATGCGATCGGTCATGTTATATGTGTTGTGGTGATGTGTTAGGTTGTGGTGTGGTATGTCATGGTATGGTGTGGTATGTTATGTTCTGCCATGCAATGTTATGGTATACAATGGTATGTGTTGTTATGTTTGCTCTGGTCTGTCGTCGCAGGCGTTACTATGCTGTGTTGTGATATGACGTGGTATGTCGTGCTATGCGAGGCTGTTAACTACATGTTATGTGTTGGTATGATCAGTTATGCGATGTGTTCTTATAGTAATGTTTGATTTGCTGTGCTATGAAATATGATGTGCTGTGACGCTGTGTCATGGTATGCACTGCTCTGCCATGGTGTGCTATGTTTCGATATCAAGCTCTGTTCTGTCAGAGCTTCCAGCTTACCGTGCTGTGCTATGTTCTGCTGCTTTATCATGCGGCTCTGTCATGTCATGGCTTGTCGGCGCGAGGCGGGACACTCGGGGACGCTCGGGGGATCTGGCGATCTAGCGGCCGCGGGTTGCAGAGTGGCGCGAGGACGAGGACGAGGACACTGTCACGCCTCGTCCTCGTCGTCCTGGCACTCGGGGGACACTCGAGGATCTGGCGGCCGCGGCTTGGCGCGCGGGGCGCCGGCGTCCGCCCCCCTCCGCGGCCGCGGCTCGCGCCGCAGGACGACATCCGGGCGGCGGTGGAGGACGCCGGGCCGGGCCGGGGCAGATCCCGCACGCCTCCTCCTCCTCTTCCTCCTCCTGCTCCTCCTGCCCCTCCCCCTCGGCTCGGCCCCACGCCGGGCCTGGCCGGAGCAGATCCGCCGTGCCCTGGGCGATCTCGAAAGTAGGGCGTGCGTTTCCGCCTGGACCATGCTGGGGGGCTGAGGTGGCCCCGCCCTGGCTCTGGCCGGCAGGAAGGGCGGGCAGGTTCGGAGCTCCGGGTGCGGGAGTGTTTGGGGGGCCGTTGTCGGACCCTGGGGCCGTGAAAGACAGCACCAGATGGACCCCAGGAGGGGTCAGGGGACCGATTTTGAGCGGATTCGGCCTAACCCTCCACCCTCCTGTTTGATTTTATGGGGTCCGAACCAGTTCAGACCCCCTGGCCGCCTCCAAGTTTGTTGGGCGATTTCGTAATGAGGGAGGGCGGGCATTCTCGCCTTCTTTTCCCAAGCTCGTCTGATGCCGGTGTCCGCTCTACTTCACCGTCGCTGTTTCTCGTCTGATGCCGGTGTCCGCTCTACTTCACCGTCGCTGTTTCCGCCATGCCTTTGCGGAAGTATGCGCCAGTTTTTTTGTGATGCGGAGATGCCCGCCCTATTTTTCGTGTCGTTTGGGGTGCATGTCCGACACACTTGCGAGTAGGACAATCAAGCAAATATCCGAAGCCAGTGTAAGTCGCGGTCGTGCCAGAACCATGTGGCGGCGGACCGCGCGGTTGTTTCGAAATCCAAGAGTCTTCACCGTGCGTTCCGTCACCGCACGGTTTCGGGACCTCGGAGGCTTTGCTCGCCCGAGACTGCCTCGGAGAGCGACCCGAGTCCCAAAACCGTGCGGTGACCCTGAAGCACCACCGACTCCCCACGCTGTGTGGACACCGCCCCTTCTGGGGGCCCCCGAAAGCCCCCGAACGTTCCTAGGACCCCCCCGCGTCGTGAACGACGGGATCTGTTTGGCCGTCTTCGGCCTCTAAGAGCCCTGGCTGAGGCCCCGGGCTTTCGCCGGGCCCCGGTCACCGGGACCGACCCTCGGGGACCGCGTCTGAGAACATCAGGACATCGCATGGCCAGGCTCTTCGACTGCGCGCAAATTGGCGGCGTGCAGAAGGGGGTTGGCTGGCAGGTGTTCTTTCTACGCCGCTCGAGGTGACAAGTTGTACTGCGCCAGCGCCTTGCGATGCTTATGGGCACACGAACTGATGTGACTGCTGATGTTCCCTCACCCCATCACCTCCCTTTCCGCTGCAGCCAGACTGACGCAGCAGTGCTTTCGGTCCCCGCCCTGGCTGCGGCGACGGCAGGGGCAGATCAACAGGGATCAAGTATATCAGCCAGACCAGCTAGTCATACCAATCAGACCAGCCAGCCAGACCAGTCAGACCAGCCAGCCAGAACAGCCAGCCATCTCTAGCAGTGCCACTTCAGCGCACACAAACGGCAATGCTGAAAAAGGGCCATGCAAACAAGATCGTGTTCGTTTCGTCGTCGCCAACATGTGCGCTCCAACCCTCTGTGAACCTGCCCAAGCCACGCTTGGCTCTCACGCGGAATATTAAACTCAAACTCTTATCAGCGCCATTGCAACGCAAATCACAATTTCAGTACAAAAGAAGCAATCACAAACAATTCGTTTTCGTTACTTGCCGACATCGGCGCTTCAACTCTCCCTGAACCTTTCCAAACCACACATGGCTCCCACGTGGGATCCTCTGTTCTCTAGCGGTCGCCGACATGTGCGCTCCAACCATCCCTGATCCTCCCAACACCACGCTTGACTCCCACGCGGAATCCGAAGCTCAAGCTCGAGCAGCGCCACGAGAGCGCAAAACAAGCATTGCGAGGCACAGAAACACTTGCAATCTAAAAACATGTTTCATGTGGTGGTCGCCGACATGTGCGCTTTAACCCTCCCTGAACCTCCCAACGCTACCCTTGGTTCCCATTCGGAATCCCAAACTCAAGGTCGAGTGGCGTCACTACAGCGCAACCTGCAACTGTTTTCGTGTGGTGGTCGCCAACATGTGCGCTTCAACACTTCCTTATCCTCCCCAAACCACGCTTGGCTCCCACACGGACTACTAAGCCCAAGCTCGAGCAGTTAAGGTGAAGCTCACGTCTCAAGTTGTACGCTTGCTCTTGTGAAGCTTGGCGTCCCGCCGTGCGCTACAAATGGCAAAACACTGTATTGGCTTATGAGCGTTTTCTCGCCCTGGGATGCTTGCCAGCAGCTGCGCCTCGCCGAGGGCGTTCCGGGGGTGCCTGGATCGGTTGGAGCGGCTGCCCGGAGGCCCAATTTCTAGGCCGAAAACCAGGCGCGCACAACGTGTGGTGGTGGTGGTGGTGCGAGGAGCCCCTTCGCACCCCACACGCTTCGTGGCCCCGTGGGGAGCTCCGCCAAAGGCCCCAACGAGCTCGTCCTATGGCGGCGCCGCCTGTTACTGCATACCCATCACGCTCTCTGGGGCTACATGGGGGGTCCACCCACGACCCAAGCGAGGTCGTCCACGTGGTGACGCCGCCTCATTGCGGCACACCCCTTGCACGTTTTGTAGCCACAGGGTACTCCACCCGCGGCCCCAGCGAGGACTCATTGTGGCGCACGCTTCGCACGTTTTATGGCCCCGTAGGAAGCTCCACCCACGGCCCCAGTGAGGTCGTCCGAATGGCGGCGCAACTTAATTGCTGCATCCACCCACACGGTTCGTGGCCCCATAGGGATGTCAACCTACGGTTTCAATGCGGTCGTCCGTATGGCGGCGCCGCGTTTTGTGACCGTATAGGGATCTCCACCTACGGCCCCAGTGAGTTCGTCCGTAGGGTGGCATCGTTTCTTGTACGTTCACACTCACACGCCTTGTGGTTCAATCAGATGCTCGCCACCGCCGTCGTCGTTTCTTTGTTGAGCTGATTCTTCAACGCTCCTGCGAAAGCTGGGTCTTCGTTTTTAGTCCGCAGCGCACCGCGTCTTCCTTCTCCGCCTCCTCTTCCTCCTTCTCTTCTTCTTCCCTCAGCCATTGTGGCTCAAAGTTCCAATGTACCGTGGGCTGGATGCAGACCTGATCCGAGGCAGTTCCCAGGCGTCGGACTGGTCCACCCCAGGGCTGGATCCGCTCGCCAGCGCGGGCGGTCTTTTTTCCAACGCACTCGGCATTCGGGTCAGTAGGTACACCAATGCGTTTCTAGTTCCTGCTGGCGCGAGCGTGGCCACGACATGCCCGATCGTTCGAATAAGGGTGCCCGTGGACTGAGAGATGGCGACCAGGTGCGCAAGGAGTCGAGGGAGGCCCGGCCGCAGCCCCGTCGTCCCCGCCATCGCTCGGCCCGGGCCCGCGGAGCACGGGAGCGGCGCCTGGGGCTGACGTTCACGTGCAAGGCGTCGGCACAAGGCCATGCAGCGGCGGGCCAAGATTTGGCCACCCAGCAATCGGAGGCGATACGTGGTGGGATCGTCGGTGGACGGCCTCCTCTCCCTCCTCACTTCTGCTCCTCTTTCTCCATTCCGTATCCTTATGAATAACTCGTCCTTGTCGCACCCTAAGGCCAGTCGGAAGGGCGGGCCGGGCGCTTCACCAGAGACTTCCTGGCCGCTCACAAGCCTGAATCTTCAACACTGGCAACGCCTTCGCAGATGGAGGGCGGGTGTTTTTTTTTTATGTGGCTCTCGTGGCTCTCGCCTTGGGGCCGCGCACACTCGCTTTAAACATCATTTGCAAGCGTTTCAGTGATTGAGGAGGGTGGCTTTCAAAATGTGGCTCGCGTGTTAGTTCCGCGCACATGGGTTTTAAACAACTGCAAGTGTTCCACGAATTGAGGGTTGGTGGTTTCCAAATTGCGGCTCTCGCCACAGCGCCGCGCACATAGGCAAGAATTTCGCGAATTGAGTGTGGGTGGTTTTCAGATTGTGGCTCTCGCCTTAGCGCCGCGCGCATTCGTTCCATAGTAGTGCCAGTGCTTCACGGATTGAGGGCGGGTGGTTTTGAACATGTGGTTCTTGCCTTAGCCTCGCGGACTTTCGTTTTACACACTTGCAAGCGCTTCACAGATTGAGAGCCAGTCCTTTTCAAGTTGTGGGTCTCGCCTCCTCGCCACGCACAGTCGTTCCTAACAATTGCAAGAGTCTCACGGTCTCTCATGGTCAACGTACCAGGAACTTTATTTGAGAACGATTCAGGGCTGTCAGGGCGCAGTAGTTCCGTTTACTCGCGGCGTTGAAGTTCCAGGGGTGGGTTTGTGGCACGATTCCGGATCGCCACGACACGACAGTCAGGTTAATTCGTGGCGTTGAAGTCCTGAGAATGCTGTTTCCACACATTTCAGGATTTTCACACGGTTGTCCCCCAACGGGGCAATTCTTTCAGTGGAAATGAACTTTTTGTAGGGGCCTATGAAGAGGGAGTTCGGAGGGAGGGTGTACTCCATCGTTGATGCGGCTTGGGTTTACACTGGTCCTCCTCCTCTACCTCCTGCTGACCTCCTCCGTCCCTTGCATATTCCATCCGCATGTCCATTGCGGCACGCCCGTCGTGCACATCGTGGCCCGTCAGGGAACTCTTGCTAATGTCCTCAAGGCAACGTTTTCATGCCCCCGCCCCGCCCACTTCGTCACACCCGTCACGCTGTTTGCGGCCCGCGCGCACGTTGATGTGGAACAACCTTTCTGAGAGGTAGATCCACTCGTGGAAGTTACTGCACACGAAAACCATCGTCGCGCCGAAAGGCGCCAGGATCCTGTAGCGGTTCAGTCACACACACAATTTGATAACTTGCATTCCAACCGAACACACTGCCATCAAGAAGCGGGCTCTTTCAACATTGCACCCCGAGAGGGCAAACGTCACCCAGCCGCTCTTGGACGTCACTCGAGTTAGAGGAGACCAAAACAGCGCTGGCAGAGAGCATTTCAGCGTTAGTTCATCCCGTGCAGTACGGAACTCCTTGGGTACTCACACCAATTGCCGCATAGACGGGTAAAGTTCGTCACATAACGTGCATGATCTGCCATATTGGCGTCGTGTATAGGTCGCAGCCGCACCAGAGCGGAAGATCAAGACACAAAGGCGTTAATGTGTTGAAAGCTTCAAAAACACAGATGAGCAGATCGTATTGGAACAAGCCTCCATGTCCACGTCATCTATCTCCTGCGTGTCCTGTCTGGATGTGCTTACCTGTTGTAAGCAGCGTATGCGAGCGATAGCTCTGAGTGCGTGTTGGTCTCTCTTGAACCCGTCCCAAACCGACGTTGGTCGTCCATCAAGCGTTGGAGCACCCTATCGATCCTGAAGTCGTCCAAGACGTGGACCTCGAGGAGGGCGCCCAGCTGCCCCGAATATCGTATGAAGCGAACGCCTAACGTAGCTGCGTAGTGGCCGAAAGTCGTGTCCAGGAAACTACTCCACACCAGGCGGCAGTCTTGGATCTTGGCAAAGCCATACAGCGCCGTTGAAAACAGGCGGGTGTAGTAAAATGTGATGTGCCCACCACCGCCACAGGCACCACCATGTGGTTTGTGACTTCCAAATGGCGGCCGCAAGACGTTTGCCTGTCTTTGACGGTGGTGGGATCGTAACTGGTGAGGCCCAAAGCCCCAGCGGTCGTATGCAGACAAGGGCGAGACGAATCCGAACCTGTTGAGTGCCAGGTACCGTCTTCAAAATCTCGATTGCCATGTCCAGCTTTGTCCACCCTTCGCATGGCTCAAGATTGTCATAACAACTGCGAGCTCCTCATTCGCAATGCAGCACCGAGCGAGATAGCGCCTTAGGGACTGAAGCCAAAACCCCTTCGACATGGGGTTGAAAGCGAATCTGTCGTAATATGAACGCTGACAAACTCAAACGCTGCCACTAAGTTCAGAGCAGAGTCGGAGAAGAAACCCTACATGCCGCCACGCTGGTTCCGGGCAGGCAGCGCGGTCCGGCGGAAGGGGACCAGGAGGGGAGAAGCAGGCAGACGACGACGAACGCCCAGGCCAGGGCTCGGGGCGGGCGGGCAGGCAGAAAACGGGCCAGGCGGAAACAGCAGGCAGGGAGCAGGAGGAAAGAAAAGGGAGGGAAGCAACGAGCAGAAGAGGAGGGAAAGCAGGGGGGAGGAAAAAGAGGAGGAGGAGGAGGAGGAGGAGGAGGAGGGGGAGGAGGAGCAGCAGCAGCAGCAGCAGCCGCAGCAACAGCAGCAGCAGCAGGGCCGGGCCAGGGGCCGGGAGGGAAAGGCCACCCGCGACGAACCTACGGACACTACGGCGGCGACAGCGGGGTCGGTGTGGGCGTCGGGAAAGGCGTCGTGGGGGGGTCGTGGGCGTAAGGGCGTCGGGAAGGGCGTCGGCGGGGTCGGCCGTGGGCGTCGGGAAAGGCGTCGGGAAGGGCGTCGGAAGGGGGGGGGGGGGGGGGCGCTGACCGAACCCAGCACGCTGCGGCTTGGTGGGGAGGGAACCTCTGCGGTATCACCCACCGCCCCGCCGAGGAAGGGACGGCCGGCAGTGCGGGGGGGCGCCGGCACGCCACCCGCGAGAAGGGGCACGGGGGAGGCGCCCGTACTGCCCAGCCAGGGCGGGGGGAGTGGGCAAGGGGCGTTAAGCAGCGCCCGGCGGCGCTCACACGGCGTCCGCCGTGAAGGCCGCCGTGGCCGCGGTCAGGCGGGCCACGACCACTCCCGCACCTCCAGACTGTGTCTGGAGGCGCCACAACACCGCCCGCGTTCTCCCTGTGCAGGGAGACGGGGAGTCGCTGGGCGTGTTGGTCCGCTACCAGAGCGGCGTCTTCCCCCGCGGCGCCACCCACTCGCTTGGCCAGGACCCTGAAGGTCCTGCGCGCCTCGCGGCCCCACCCGCCGCCATGGGCCTCCACCGCCATGCCATGGGAATGAAGGTAAAACCTTGCTCCGCGCGCAGCCGCGCGGTGTTCTGGTGTTGTTGTTTTTTGGACTCCTCGTATCGTTCCGTCGGCGCGCTGGACGACGCGGCCGACGCGGCGAGGAGAGTGGCGCGCAACCCGGACGTGGCGGCAAAGTCCCAGGCGGCCGCCGTGCCGTTGCGCCACCTCGGCAGGTAGACGTCGGCGGGGCGGCGGCCGTTGTCGTCCACTTGGGATCCGCCCTGCTCGCCCCCGGGGGTGGCCTCCCTGGCGAGGCGCGTGGGTAGCAGCCCCGGACGCTCCAACTCAGCCCCGGCGTGACCAGCGGCCAGGGCGTCGAAGAAGTCTTGGTTGCGCAGGGCGTTGTGGCGTTTGGTCCTGTCGCCGCGGCAGGCGCAGACCAAGGCGTGGTCGCAGTAGACATCCACCACCTCGCCACAGGCTGGGCAAAAACACTCCCCCTGCAAGAGCTGAACTCGCAGCCGCGTCTGCAGGCCGACCTGCATGAGACCGTGCGGGAAGGCGGTGCCGCTGGCCTCGCAGGGCGGCGCCTGGAGCCACGCGGCGGCGCCCTGGGCCTGCACCAGGGAGAGGTGCGCCTTGCCGGCCAGGGTGGCGCCCGCCCGGAGCCCTTCAAGCGTGGCGCTGTCCACCGCGTCGGAGAGGGCTTTCTGGTTGCTGTGCTGGGCGTGGTCGAACACCACCTTGTCGGCGTCCCGCACGACTGCGTTGTGGGCCTGCACCGCCGCCGCCAGGCTACCTCCGTCGTGGTCAGCGCTGCTGGAGCAGCAGGGGTAGAGCCGCTTGCAGAGGTCTGTGCCTGTCGCTCGGGAAGCAACGTCAGCCATGGTAGAATGCCCCAGCTGGTGTCTGTCAGCTTGGCCAGTATCCCAAAGCGTTCGATCTCAACAGGCGCATGGGGGTCCGACCAACGTTGCCTCGCCTTTGTGTTCTCACTGAATCCAATATCCGCTGTTTGTGGCCACATAGGGAGCTCCAACAACGGCCCCTGTGGTAACATCCGCATGCCCCCGCTCTACCCATGTCCGCACACCCTTCGCACGCTTCGAGGCCCCAAGGGAGGCCCAACCGAAGGCCCCAGTGGCAACGTTTGTATTCCGCCGCCCCGTTTATTTAGGCACGCCCCTCTCACACCTCTTTGGCCCCAGAAGGGTCTCCACGACCCTGGGGGCAAAGTTTAGATGCCGCCGCCCCTCCTTTGCGGTTCCGGCTCAAGCCGATGCGAGGCGCTGCACCGAGCTCTTTGCGCACAACGCTACTTCGGCAACAATCTGCCCCACATTCGGCCGTATTTTGGCGATGAGCTCTTCCGGCCCCAGCGGCTCAGTCGGCGCATGCGCGAATCGCAGCAGGAAAGAGGCAGTCTGTGTGACGAAGCCTCCAGCTCCGACGATGGGACACCCGGCTTGGATTCCAGAGCTTACAGCTTCGATGGAGTCGCACGGCGCTTGCACCCCTGACTTCATCGCGTGGCAGCGTCTGACCTCGTGCGCGATAGAGCGCAAGGCGACGTTCCTTAATGTCGTCGATTCTGTCGAGACCGAAGAAGAAAACGCTGCATGAACATAAACTTTCGGAGCTTCACGCAGGTTCCTTGGATCAGCGCTGGGACCCCCTCCCTGGTGCGCGGAGCGCGCCAGGGGCGGTGCCGGAGCCGCAGCCGCCAGGGTCTTCCAGCGCTGATTCGAGGAATCCTCGCGGAGCTCGGACAGTTTATGTTTCTGCAGTTATTTAATCGCTTCGCTCATGCCGCCGGCCCTGGAGCCCTCTTTAGGGCCTCTTGGGGGCCTCTTGGGGACCTCTTGGGAGTCTCTTGGGGCTCCTTGGCGGCGTTTTGGAGGCCCCCAGGGCCTCTTGGGGGGCTCTTGGGGGTAGTCGATTGCGGCTCCCCCCTCGGAGGCCACGATCCTCGTGAGGGGTGTCGAAAAATACCCTCCCCTGGAGTGGTCTGGTGGCTTCTCCCGGGCTTCTCTCGGGACCTTGCCGGGGTACTTTTCGTCCGGGGGCCCCCAGGGGCCGCTCCGCGCGCGCGAACTAGAAATATTGTTAACAAGTTACCGGAGATCTTAGCACGCCTCTGGCCCGTTGGGCCGGCGAATTTTTCCTCCAGCACGGGGGAGGCCAAACGTACCCCAGAGCAGACGTACCCTGGAGTGGACTTCAGGATCCACCTCGGGACGCCTCACGGCTGCGTTTTGGGGGCCCACCGTGGCCAGAACCGTGGCCGTGGCCTCTTTAGGGGTACGTCGTTCGGGGGTACTTTCGGGCCTTCCCCATCCCTCCGATCGCGATGTGATTTTTGCAATCCGCGGCCCAAACAGCCCCGACCCCTTCCCCAGGGGTGTTTTCTTCCTGGATCCGTTTTGGATTGCCCCCGGGCCTGACAGCGGGCCCCGGGCCGAAATCGGGGAAAAGCTGCCTGATTGAAAAAAGCGCAGTCTCGGATCTTCAGGAGCGAATTAAACACACAGACACAATGAACCATCGACTCCCAGGAAAAGGGAAATATGGGAAGTGGGGGGAAGGCGAAGATCGAGAAAACGTGAAAAACAAAATGGGGGTTCCTGGGAGTCGTGTGCATTTATTTGTATGTCCCTGGGCCCCTTGAGACCTCTGGGAAGGCGACGTTCCTCCACGTCGTCGACTCCGTCGAGCGGCGCTGGCGGACGCTGCGCCTCCCCCGCTCCCGCTCGGCCCCGCCCCCGGGCACGGGAGGCCCCGTCGGCCGCGCGCCGAGCGGCCCCCGGGCGCCGCCCGAGCTCGGGCCCGCCGCGGGCTTTTTCGCCGGCCCCGGCGCGGAGCAGCCGCCCGAGATGCGCTCCCGCACGAGGCTCGGGGGGCGCATCTCGACGTCTCGGGTTCGTTGCGATTCGGATCCGATTCGACCTCGACGCACCGAGTCGGATGCCGATTTCGCAACGCAGGCGAGGCCTCCTACTGGCCTGCCGAGTTCTGCCAATGCGACTTCTCTCGGCTTGGCTGCCGATGTCCGTCGATCCGATCCGTTTCGATTCGATTCTGGGCTCTCCTGGGCTCGGGGGCCACATGTTTCCGCTGTCTCGGGAGGGGGGAGGGGCAGTGCCGGGGGTGTTCGAACACCCTCGGGATCTCCTACGGGCTTCCCAGCCTCAGGATGCCTTCCGGCAGCTTCGCCTCGCCAGGAGCGCTCTAGGGGGGCCCGGATCGCCCTGTGGCCCGAAAACCAGCTGGTAACGCAAGCCTATGAGGAGGAGCGGGAGGAGGAGGAGATGGAGGAGGAGGAGGAGGAGGTCGGTCGGTCGGTCTATCGCCATATGATCCAGATGCTCACTTACCTTGCACAGCGTGGGATCGGCGTGCGCGAATGATGCACTATGCATCCCGCGTTGTCAAAACGATGGGAGTCTCCCCCTGGCACAATTCGGGGACACCATGAGCCACAACATGTCAACAGACTGTGGGCAGGAAGAAAAAGGAAAAGAAAAAGGAAGGGTATGGAGGGGCGGGGGGGGGCGGTGCCTGGTCCATCGCGTCCGTGTCGCACGGTCGCTCTCGGACGGGCACTACCCATCCGCGGCTCCAGAAAGAGAAAAAGAAAAAGGAAAGAGATGGAGGGGCGGGGGAGGCGGTGCCTGGTCCAACGCGTCCGTGTAGTACGGTCGCTCTCGGACGGGCGCTACCCATCCGCAGCTCCCTCATGCTCCCACCCGCCCGCACCCCCCAGGGAGCAGGACGACGAAGGAGAGGGAAAGGCGGGGGGCCACCCCACGAGAGGAGCGCGAGAGGCCACGGAGCCAGAAGAAGGCGAGGCAGGGGGGGGAGAAGACGACGACAGAGGAGAGAGAGACAGCAGCGCAGAAAGCAGCGAGGGGGGGGTGCGGACAACAAGATACTTGCAAACAAGAAAAAAGAGAAAAGAGGCCAGCCCTGGCCTCTAAGAAACTCATCCCTATCCAGACGCCCTCCTGCGTCGCTTCCTCGGAGCGTTGCAGCTGTCTGGTGGGGCCCACTTACCTGTAAATCTAACATTCGTTCTCTCAGCTATACTCATATTTGGCCTAGGACTCTGTGCACTTCTACTCACTTCTTCTTGCCCCTGAGCAGCCTCTCCAGTGATCCTTGAATGCGGCGCTCTCCTGTGTTCCTCGGTGGGGGGCCTGGCTTCGGTACACTGCCCATCGCGATGTACAAGCGGGTGAGGATAGCATTCATTGGCTGCATCATTCCGTTGATCTGGGCCCATGCACTGATCAGGTATGTGTGTCGTACTTGGGCCGGTTGGCCCTCGTGCTGGTAGGCCGACTTCACGCGATAGTATTTCACGTATTCGCATGCTATTGCTAAAGGCTCTTGTTTTAGCCGCTGCACGAAGTCTTTCAGGAAATCCATACACTGTTTGAGCTCTGCCACACTGTTCAACTGGGCATTGGTCGCCAGAGCCTCGATCACCGCTATCCCTACTGCCAATGACGGGGGACCGTGTACGTGATCTGGCTTGCCCTCCACCATCTGTCGGTACTGCTGCCCTGCTGCTACTGCTACTGCATTGATACTGTGGTCCTGGGGCATGAGGTGGGTCGAGAGGAGCGCGCCCTCGAGCCCTCGAATCCGCTGGGCATGATTCAAGGATGCTTTCATGACCTCCACCGCCGTTTCGCCATCGCTCTCGTCGTCCTGGTTCGCTGAGTCCCCCCCGACTGCCACTCTCCTGAACTTGGTCCCCTCCTTGCCCTTGCCTCCGCCTTTGCCATCTCCGAATGAGCTCTTCTTGGAAGTGCGTGACTTGTCGTCCACCTCCATCGCTGCCTGGGCCTTCTCGGCCGTGATCGGGGGTAGGGCCCAGGTCGCCATGGGTAGTCTCTGGGGCTGGTAGTGAAATATATGCTTCAGTCGATAGTTGCACGTGAGTCCGTATATGCACCTGCAGAGCCGAAAGGCTCGGGAAGTCGTCACCACAAGCTGGACATACATAGCATGTTGGTTCCTCGACTTTGTGAACGAAGTGGTGTCGGTCCGCGTGGCACACCCGCTTCAAAAATAGGTTCCTGACATGCTGTCGTGCGACGGCGCGGTTACTAAAAGTCGTCATACACCACGGGCACTGGTTCGTAACAGTCAACACTTGGCATATAGCTCTGTGTCCGTGCGTCCCTCCCTCCGTAAACCTCATATGAGCATACCATCCTCGCTGTTCGTGGAACTGCAGTCCGCACTCGCTCCCGTCCTCATTGAGTTCCCGACACACCCACACTGCTGGTTCTGCTGCTGGAGGAGGAGGGACAGGAGGGTCGTGCTCTGAGGGTTCTAATGTGGGTTCAGTGCTCCAGAAGGCCTTCCGAAGATGTGAGAAATCAAGCTTCTCAAAATGACTGGCATACTCTCGAGTGAAGACCTTCAGCACCTTGCCTCCCAACTCCTGAAGAAGCTCCTCTCCTCCTTTGACAGACCCTATGGAATTCAGATCACCCACCACCTGGCTAGCCCAGGGATTACCGCGGTAGTCTCCATCTTCTGTCATCATAAGTCGGTGGTCCTGGATCGTCGGTTGTTCCTCAAACCTAAACTGGCCAAAGACTGCCGCAAGCAACTGTCGATTATCCTGGGGGTTCGTCGCAACCGATTGCCACCACTGAAGCCTGCGAATGCGGAGTTCTAAAAAGGTTGGTACCATTCTCAATGCTTTCCAGATTGCACGCGAAGGCATACTCGTATGCTTAACGGTCCCGTCGGTCTGAGGTGTTTTTAAGGTCCCCTCCCCGTGCATCAAGGTACGTCCCCACTTCACCAAAAGAGCATCAATCGGTTCACAGTCCTTTTTTGAAATACAGTAAGCCTCCATCCCAGAAAGGCCAGCTGATTGGACCCTCGCCCTGAAAACCAGAACCTGAAGGTGCCTCGGGACCTTGTCGGTAAACCAGAAACGCCCCATCGAATACCAAGCAAGCTTCATACTCTGGATCGCAGCCTCCCTATGCTTGCCCACTCGGTAAGATTGGTTAAAGCGTCCCCCCAAGTACGTCGTGGTCGTGGCAACCGAACCAGAAAGCACACACAATCCGCCAGACAGCTCACGAGATTCAACATGTGCTCCCTGCCCCACAATACGCGGCACGACAACCTGCTTCCCGTGATTCTGAGCTCCTCCTATTGTGTGCAACTGCATGTCGAACTGCTCACTCGCTTTTCGGACGCTTGCTGCTAATCCCTGTGCAGTGCGAGCAATCAACTTGTGTGCAACATCGTCGAGATAGACCGTGGTGCTCACATCTATCGGGCATTCATCAGTGTCCCACGGGTGCTGGCATACTAAATCCTGGGCTGTCGGTTCTTGGCTGCGTAAATGCAGCCACGGTGCAAGCACAGTTCGGGCAAACGTCCTGATATATTTACTGGGTGCGCTCTGGTGTCCCTGGAGAACCCCCTCGTTAACTAAAAAATGACACGGTCCATCTTGTGCATCAATCGTAATACAGCTATTGTGATTGGTCGTGGTACCTATGAATACATCCTCAGGTGCAGCATGCATCATGTCAGTGTCGTCGAATGCTTCCAACCTAATACTGCCAAACGCATTCTTCTGATCATAGAACACCGTTGCATGTGAGACCCCATGTGCAGCTAAGCGCCAGCCCGTCGCAAGTTGGATAGTCAGGGCAGTCTCTCGTCGTCTGCATCTCAGTCCCCCATGTAGACAGTCCAGTAAGCCACGGTCAGTGTAACAGTAGTCCCCCCTATCTGTCACCGTTTTTGTGTAAGCTTTACTGAAGTGACACATACGGTGCACAACACGCAGAGCTTTCATACCGATGCTGCCTGAGGGTTTCGGTATCGGGCATGCCCAGGAACGGCTCCAGTCTCTCGGTAGCTTCCCCATCCCCCGAACCATCTTCAGGACCCCAAACAGACGCCTGTGAAACCAAAGCATGTCAGGCAGGGTAGCGCTAAAGGCATGCTGATACTGTCGCATTCGTGCACACAACATACTGGGATGAAGCAGCATGCGGAGAACCTCAAGGGGTATACTCCAGGGCGGACAGCTTTTCCGAAGCTTCATCTTGAGCACAGCTCGTCTGACTGCCGCAACGTCTCTCTCACATGCGTCGCGCCAGTCGGGATCATACAGGTCGAGGCCAGGCCCTGGGTTAGCTGGAACATCTGAGATCGGCGGCATGTCAACTACAGTGCAGCTCTGTCCTCCCTCCCTTCCAGGGCGGCCTAGGAACTCCGTCCACATCTCGCACGTGGGGCGGATCGTCATCGGCACATTGTGAAACCTCTTTCCTGGACCTACTGCCGTCATCGCCATGCGACGCGACAGCCTTGCAACCAGGGCAAGGTCCCTCTTCCTCCAGGCCCCCCGAATTTGCTGGGCAAGGGAGTCAAGTCGCCGGGCACGAGCCTCTCTCGCATGCCTCCGAAGGTCACGCGTGACATTATTCAGTTCTATACAAACTCTGGCCAGCTCTGTCGTCCTCCCCTCCTCGTGACCCTCCATGTTCCCCATCTGTTCCCTCAGATTGGCCCGACGAGTCAGTAGCTCACGTTGTTGTTCCCTCCCCTCCTGTACCGTCACATCATCGCGCGTGCGCTGTGCATAGTACTTGTGAGCCACCTCCTGCACACACTTGACCAGAGATCCCCATGCATGATCAGGACAGTCATTATGCTCGTGCTGCATCCATGTACTCTGGTCGTTCATACATGCACGCTCCACCTCCCTAAGGAACAGTCCCCGATCTTTTCCCACCATCAATCCTTGAGTGAGCCTATCCAGATCCCATCTGTGTTCTTTTTTGGATGAAACCGTTGGGAAGTCCAGTATATACCACACCTGCACTTGCAGCGGCCAGTGGTCCCACCGTCGGGCGGTATTCACCATCTGTAGCTTCCGACCCTTCCGTTCAAGGATCCGTGAGTGGGAGATCGAGCGAAGCCAGCTTCGCGGTGCCGCAATGTAGTCGATACGCGTGCTGCCTCGGTGTCCGTAGTATGTGTCTTGGCCTCCTACAAACGTGTTCAAAAGACACAGCCCATATTTCCCCAGGAGCTCACGAATTTGCTTCATTGCAAAGTGCTCCTGGCGCGGCGCCAGCGGGCCCACAGGGTCCAAGGCGGGATCTACTGGGGTGCCTCCCTCTCGTTGTATGCCCGCATGGTCGTTGAAGTCACCGCCTAGTACAATGGACACACGCGCGGGCAGTCGAGCACAGACGCTGTCAACCCACCCCAATATTTCCCTCACGCATCTCTGGTATGCAGCCTCGTTCCGTCGTACCGACGGCCGTGGTGGCAGGTACATGGCACAGCATAGCAAATGAAACCGTCCACTTCTCACAATCACAGCGCCCACCCTCCCCTGTAAGGTGGGTGGTGGGGAAAGGATTTCCACAATATGTTGAGTGCGAAACATGTCTTTTCTTAGTCGTATTTGAACGCCCGCATGCACACTACTGAACGGTGTCCGTGCATATCCCCATGAAAGTATGTGAGCCTTCTCATCTGGCACGTGAATACAGGGTGTGTCGTGCATGCGTTTCCGTAGTCGGGTTCCCGTCACAAACACCACGTCCTTTGTACTGAACTCTCGCGATACGTCCTGGCACCTTCCTGGTTGTATCAATGAACACACGTTGTACGCTACAAAATTCAGAGGTCGAGAAGATGACATGCGGAGGAGACTCCAGGGAAAGGGGAAAAGGATGTGCGCGACGGTGACAGCGCAAGAGAGGTACAGTAGGCGCGTATGCAAGGCCGCCATTGGTCCAAGCGGCGCCTGAGGAGGAGGAGGAGGAGGAGGAGGAGGAGGAGGAGGAGGAGGAGGAGCAGGAGGCGAGGGGCCGGGAGGCCCCCAAGCGGTGCGGTGACCACACCGTGTGGTGAGTCAGTGGGGGCTCGGGGTGCCTGCACGGTGCTGAGATTCGGCCGCCCTCCGAGGACGTCTTGGGCGCAGGGGGGCCTCCGGGGCCCCAGGACCGTGCGGTGACAGACCGTGCGGTCTGGTGTTCTGGGATCTCGAGGTCACCAGGCTTGGAGGGCAAAAGTCTATCTGGGGCCCATGCCAAGTACCGTCCTCACTTTCTGGCCACAGGCGTCTATATAGACACACGCACTGGGTGTCGTGACCGATGTACACACGTTCGGGGTGGATACGTCTGTAGACAGCGCGGCCGTTGCGTTCGGCGCATGACAAGATCAGAGAATTGTACATCTGTCTGCGGTATGTCCTGTTCTAGAGCAGGTCCCACATGGTACACCGCGCGGTCCGTCATCGCACCGCTTTGGGCCTCAAACAGGCGCCGCCGGGAGATGCGGGCCGCGCGAGCGAAGCGGATGACAGAGGAGGCACGGCAGCACTGCAAGCGCTGAGCGGCCGCGGCGCGGCGTCCGAGGCGCCCCCTCACGGGCGTGCCCGTCCTGCGGCAGTGCCAAGCGCCGGTGGCGTCCGGCGTGAGGCCAGTCGGGCGTTGCGCTATGGGGGGCGATAAATGGTGGGGCGAAGAAACTTGAATTTTTCTCGCACAGGTGCCCTAGGGGACCCCTTGTGGGCCTAAACGGGTCACGAAAGGCGCGCGCTTCTTTGTCTCCCCAATTGTCGCCTCGCCCCCAGTGAGGTGACGCTCAGGGCAGCGCGCCTGGCTGTGAGTTGGGTGGGGCGCGAGGGGAGGGCCTTCAATAAGCCTGGAGGGCTTCGAAGGAGGCAGGGGGGCTTCTCAGATGCCCTCCTGGCTTCCGAGAAGCCTTCTTAGAAGCCCCACGGCCCTTCTGAGAGTGCCCCCTGCCGTCTGTGAAGCCCCCCGCCTTCTTAGAAGGTCGCCCCCCTCGCGCCACCACCCCGTGCGCGCCGCCAAGCGGTGATGGCGCGCGCACGCGCGCGCGCGAGCCGCGGTCGCGGCGGTGGCGGCGGTTTCCCCCCGAGGGTGCGCCTGGAGTGCCGTAGTGCCTGGGCCTCCGGTCTGGGGCATACCGCCCCAGACTGCGACGAGGCGGCTGACGCGGCCCTGCGGGATTGCACCTGCTCGTTTTTGTCGCGGTCTCGCGGAGTGGGAAATATCCCAAGGTGGGGTTGGGGAGCGGATCCAGCTGGATGCGCACATGTAGTGCGGCGTTCCTTTCACCCCACCTCTGCGAAGTTGGGGTCCCACCGCAGAGGCCCGTGCCAAGTGGACCTCGACGCAGAGTTGATCGACGGGTGAGGCGCGCGATGTTTTAATGGCGTCTACGGGTGGCCGAAGGGCGCCCAGAGGGCGCGGCGATGCCGATTGTTCCTCGCCGTCGTACGTGCTCCTCTGCCCCCTGGGGCAGGGGCCGCGGCCCGCAGGCTTTTGATTCCTGGGCATGGGGCCTCCAGGCGCGACCCCCCTGTGGCGTCACGGGGGAGGTCTCCTTAATTGCGTCCTGCACCCCCGCAGGGCCTCTTCGGAGCCCAGGTCTGTTCACTTCTCCCATTGTACAGCCTTTCGTTACGTACCCCCCAGATCCCCCCCTCCTCTCTCCTCACCTTCCTCCTCCACGCTCTCTTGTCGAGGGAAGGAGCACGATGACCATGACCACTTTGTCACCTTTTTTTGTCGACGCCGTTCTTAGTCCATGCAGGCCGTCGCCAATGCGCGATAATGATACAATATTTGACGATGATCAAGCTGGACGATTTGCCGCCGTCCATTTTGTTCGCGTCACAACAGCGCTGTAGCTCTGTACTGGAGCGGCGGTCATGTCCAACACGGGGTCACGTATCCCCCTTGGGTCACGGGGCCAGCACGGGGTCACCTCAGCCCCGTTGGGCTCCCGAGGGCTCCCCCCGAGGGCTCGCGGGCTCGAGAGGGGTGGCACACATGCCAGCCAACACGGGTTTGTGACCGCCGGAAGTTGGCAACGCTACAACATGGACGCGGCCACGTCACCAAGATCGACACCGACGTCTCCACGATCGGTTCTGGTCATGGTCTTAGGAGGTCCTTCATGGGAGTCTCAGAGGGCCCAAAATTCCTGGCGGTTTGGGCGGGTCGTCCGGATTTCGTTGGACCCGGTCGACATATGGACGAAATCTGGGCCACACCTGGACGAAAGGGTGAAGAGTGGCGGCCGAAGCCAGGACGAAATCCGGTCGAAACCGTGCTTATGGTAGGGCCGCGGAGGTCCACGGAGGCCCCCGGGCAGGCCCACCCAAGTGGCCCTCTGCTTCTCCTCGCCCACCGTGGCCCCCCGCGAGGGCCGCGGACACCGGCAGCGCCTGCGCGCTCGCGCTGCTCCCCCCGGGGCCCAGGGCGGCCCGGAAGCGTGTTCACCGGGATCCCCGAAGGCCCCGCGCTCCAGCGCCGCGCGGCGCGTGGTCTGGGGCGTCGCGGGGCCCAGAGTTAGGTCGGGCATGTCCCCCATACAGGCGGAGTTTGGACGAAAGATGAGACAGACTCAAAACATACTCCCAAATGGTCCCAAATCGTTAAAAATATCGCCCCCAGACTATTTTTGGGCTATTTGGGAATATTCCTCCTGTAGAGGGACAGGCCCGACGTAAGCCTAGAGGTGGCACGCAGGGTGCACGTTCCTCCTCCTCCCCACCCCCCCTTTGGCCGCCCCCCGATTAGAAAGCAGCGCCCGAAGGTCTGGCGGTCGTGCGTCGTGGGCGGGAAGGGTCTGGGCCAAGGGGTCAGGGAGCTCGGCGAGGGAACCTGGTGCATAGACTTGGGTCGGGCCTGTCCCTCTACAGGCGGAATATTCAAACATGGTAAAACAATACACCTGAGAAACCCCCAATCAGTGGATGATTTGAAAATTGATACTATGAATCTTGAGATCGATAATGAGATCGATAGTGGAATCGATAGTGAGGACGATTGTAAGGTCGATCGTGAGACCGAGAGTGAAATCGATTCAATGAGATCAATAGTGAGATCGATCGCGAGATCGCTCATGCGATCTCTAGTGAGATCGCTCGTGAGATTGATAGTGAGATCAATTGTGAGATCGATGGTGAGATCGATCGAGAAGTCGGTCATGAGATCGATGGTGAGACCGATCGATGAGAAGATCGACCAGGAACCTGGGAACCTGGGAACCTCGCCGCCCTCCGAAATCGGCCCAGAACCCGGAACCCGGGACCCAGGAACCCGGAACCGGGAACCCGGGAACCAGGGAACCCAGTTTGCCACCGACATCGGCGGGGAACTTTCGCCAAATTCTTCAATTTCCGCAAGGACCTCTTCAGTGCAAGCACTGATTGGGGAATATAGTCTGGAGACGATTTGTTGACAGTTTTTGTATATTATATGGTATTATGTGACTATTTGTAATTTGTCATCCAAAATCGGCCTGTAGGGGGACAGGCCCGACTCAAGCATAGACGCTCTAGCGTCCCGCAGGTTGGGGAGTTGGGGCGTCGGTACACCGAGCTCCGCTGGCGACCAGACGGCTTGGTCTGCACTCCAGGCCCCTCCCATGTGGCAGTTTGCTTTAAACTCCCGGAAGGCATCCACCCTCCCGATGTTTGGGGAGTTCACTCGGGCTGGGTTAAGGCCAGACCCCCTCCTGCTCCCCTGTGCCCCGTTCGTCCATCCCGCTTCTGCCCCGCCTTCCTCCTTGAGGAGGGCGGGGGGGGCGGGGGCTCGTCTTCAGTGTTGCCCGAACCCTACGGCTGCGGGCGATGGGCCTTCGAGCCGAGGGTTTTCCTCGGCTGGAAGGCAAGGATGCATGTCATGCCACGCGGCCCACGCGTGACCTCGTGCACCCAGTCGCGGCGCTCTGTATAGGGGCGAGTTAGCAGCGATTGTGCTCAGAATTCGCTTGCTGGACACAGCTGACACGCCTCTGTAGAGTCATCGGTGACCGTCATATGTTCGGCGACTGTTACCGTCGCATGTCAGATGTATTACCGCCCTTGCTCCGCCAGTTCTAACGAGCACACAGGCATTTCTTTTGTGATAGTCCATGCAACCTGAATGCACCTGCGAGCCACGGGCTTGTTTGCGCATATCTGGGAACACACACGTGCATCAGACTGGCTTACCAAGTCATTTGTATTCCCCTTGCGCATGCGCTGACGGACCTGGCGTCGGCATCGTTGGCCACAGCGTGCACTTTGAAGTGCCAGTAGTTCTCGCATGAATCGCAACATTGCTACTGGCTACGGCAAGTATCGGCCACATCCTTGATTGGGAAGTGTGCGGTTACCTGAGCGTTGTATGTTGTTCTTGCCTGAGTTCCAGCCACATGCCTGATTGGAAATGGTGCTGTCGCCAGTGCGCTGGCCACATGCCTGATAGGGAGCGGTGCTCTCGCCAGAGTGTCGGACACATTTATATGCTAGTGCACTTGTGGTCTCCATCTTGGAGGGGTTGCCTGGGTTGCCTGGGGGGTGTATTGGATGTTTTTCCCCAACCATCCTGTGGTGTTGGGTCCTCGTTTTGAAGAGACAGCGCCCCGCGTCCCTCCTTCCTCCCGCTGCCTCCTGTGCCCGCATGCGTCCCGCACACCCATTTCGGCACACCCCTCACACGTTTCGTGGACACATACGGAGCTCCACCGAAGGTCCCAGTGGGTGTGCCCGCATGCGTCCCGCACACCCATTTCGGCACACCCTTCACACGTTTCGTGGCCCCATACGGAGCTCCACCGAAGGTCCCAGTGGGTGTGCCCGCGTGCGTCCCGCACACCCATTTCGGCACACCATTTACACGCTTCGTGGACCCATAGGGGGCTCCACCGAAGGTCCCAGTGGGTGTACCCGCATGCGTCCCGCACACCCATTTCGGCACACCCCTCACACATTTCGTGGCCCCATAGGGAGCTCCACCGAAGGTCCCAGTGGGTGTGCCCGCACGCGTCCCGCACACCCATTTCGGCACACCATTTATACGCTTCGTGGCCCCATAGGGGGCTCCACCGAAGGTCCCAGTGGGTGTGCCCGCATGCGTCCCGCACACCCATTTCGGCACACCCTTCACACGTTTCGTGGCCCCATACGGAGCTCCACCGGAGGTCCCAGTGGGTGTGCCCGCATGCGTCTCGCACATCCTTTCGGCGCACGGAAGCGATCCTGGCAGCGCTTCGGCAGCGCTGCAGGGGGGCGCCCCAGAGCTCTCCAGGAAAGATTCCCGTCCCCGAGGGTGTCTTCGCTCTCCGGGTTTTGGACGCTACCAAGTACTAGAGCTCTAACGAATGGTTAAATTTCGAGAACAAAACTTGCAACCGAGCAAAAGTCGTCAAAACGTCCGTCGAGATTTCTCTTGCCAACCAGCTGTCCAGCGCTCCGGAATTACTTATAAGCTTCGAGCAACGAACTGAGCGCCGGCGGTAAACCGTCAACCTTCGTTACCGCCGGGGGACTCGTAGAGCTTCCTGACAACATCTGAAAAAATAGTTTTTCAGCC